TTGGTATAGCATACCTGTTATCTTTTACAATCCCCCGTTTCTCCATTTTCTTCACTTTAATTATTTTTATTACCCAATTTTTTTTCACACAATGGACTACTTTAAACTGGAAGATAACTATAATCACAGAGTGTCTTTATGTGAAGAACCAATAAAAATCAAAGAGTAATGAGTAGTTACTTAATGCTAGTTTCGGATATCACGATAAACATATTCCTCTATGGACTGAGTTAGTAGCAGTATATAAATGTATATCACAATAAACATGATATTACCTAAGTGCTTAATAGGATAGGTACACTACTGAAAGTGTGACAGGAAGTTAGAACTATGCATCAGCTATCTCGCGACAGATAAGATTTTAATAAAGCAGGTGGACGAAAAGCTTTAGTGCTGTATAAGATATTGAGATAAAGAACGTCTGCTATTTAGTCGCATGTAGTTTATTTAAAAACATGTGTTATTGTTAAAACTGCTAAATAACTTCACTGTTTTTAAGCTATATGACAAAACTTGGCATACATTTTATGACCGTCGTTTTCTAATCTATCATTAAGAGAGGAAAAACGCAGATTTAGTAGAAATGCAGGCTATCCTAAAGAAACGTCTTACTTTCAACACACCATCGTTAAGCCGAAAGTACTCGATTGTTTCAGGATCTTGGTCAATAGCTAAAGGTTTTATAGTTACCACCCTTTATTACATTCCTGAAATTCTTGTCCCCAGATTTTCAGGCATATTCACCTTAGTAGCTAAGATACTGTCTATATGGACAATAAGTAAACTGAAATAATTATGAATGTTTGAAACTTATTATCAAACAAAGTCTAATACATACCATAATCAGTAACTTCGTTTTGCACAGTAAAGTTCAGATTTATCAAACTTTTATGATGTGTTAAAAATTTTTTGTTATCTTTTGAGTAGTTACTCACAATAGTAAATAAGATAAAGTTACAAAATGTGGTTCACTGTATTCCAACTGATAAGATCAATGATAATTTAATTTCTAAAGAACATGATTGCAGTTTATACGAAATTAGATGTAGTATAGCTATGATGAATCAGAAATGAATCATAAAAGCTCTATTATTTAGTTCACTTGCTGTGAACAATTTCATCGAATTGACTTTGTTCAAAAACTTTTTGTGAAGTCTATTAATATTATTAGACCGTAACAAACTGAATAACATGAAGTGGCATTTAGTTCTGTACCCTGATAATTTAAATTTGGAAAGTATAATTATTAAATTAATTCAGTAGTTGAAATCATAAGTCAATTGAAGCTAGACCACTATGAAAAACCTGCAAGCACTGGACGGCCGTTTCGTCCTAGTATGGGACTCCTCAACAGCATGCATCCACGATTCCGCCTCGCGAGATTCGAACTCAGGACCCATCGGTCTCATGCGCGAACACCTAACCTCTAGACCACTGAGCTGGCCAGCATTCAACGATGGTGCGCACTGCTGAGGAGTCTCGTACTAGGACGAAACAGCCGTCTAGTGCTTACAGGTTTTTCATGGTGATCTAGCTTCAATTGACTCATGACTTCAACTATTGAAATTGCTATAATCTCCACAAAACTCCTTCTGATAACATTAGATTATGTAATAAAATCCACATTTAAATTTATTATACCTTAATTATTTTGTTTTATATGAAGTATTTGTGTGGAATTCTATGAATCTTATGTATTTGATTTTAATGACTTAACGTATACCAGGTAGTTTCAGATTTATACTTTAACAATTTTATAAAATAATCTATTTCATAATTCCTTGAGAGACTTTTGTCAACCCTCTATAACATTCGCTTCTATATCGAAGTTAATTTATTTAGGTATGTTTCAATAATATTCTATTCCATTGAGTACATTCAAGTGAATTGCAATAATTTGAAATTTAATTATAGGCAGGGTTAGATAGTGGTTTATAATGCTTGTGACTTCAAACAATATTGAGGCAATCCGTACAGGTTGCACATATGCCAATAAGAGACTGATTAGTTGCAGTCTCAAACATCAATGGGAAGATTCAAACAATCAATACAAAAATGAGTGAAAACTTCACCTCGTTACTTAAGATAGTCGCTGTCAGAAAACAGTAGCTAAGTAGATAATGAGATGGCGTTTGAAGCGAACGATACTGGGTCCGAGTCCCCGGAGTGAACATCAACTGTATATTTCAGGCAAATCTAGCTGATGAGTCGCAAATAGGACAAAACGCACGTTCTAGATTGCACTGCCAATCACTATCCATCTTTGCTGAAAAAGCTTGTGACTTAAGGTTATATCGAGGCAAGCCTTGCAAGATGCACATATGTCAATAAGAGACTGGTCAGTTGTAGTCCTAACCATCTATGAGAAGACTCAAACAACCAATACAAAAATGAATTTAAAATTTCATTAAAACAAAATAAATAAATGACTGTCAAATAGTTAAGAAAACCTTGTCTTTCTTTTTCTGGGTTATTTCAAGCTACAAAATAATTCAGTTTCTGGAAATCGACTAAAGTAACTAAGTTACATTCATTTAAAAAAGAATGAAGATGGTCAATGATAATATGGACCTTTAGTGACCTTATATCTAATTCCAGTTTGATCGTTTCTGATTGCTATTGACATATACATACTTCATCACTATTAAAAAATTTGTTACATTTTCCAGTGTCTTCGTGTTTTATGTTAGTAAATAAGTTTGTTGACAGTTAATTGACTTTAAATCTTTACTTTGAATTGGATCTGCGACTCTAGCAGTCCGCGTTTAAACTAAGGATGCTGAGTTGATCTTCAAACATCTCAATAAGTAAAAGAACAATTTCAATGCCTAAACTACTAAACCACAATTCTGTTCTATAATTTTAATTATATAATGCCTGAAAATCCTTTTGAAATGAAATCATTCATTTAATAGTCATTTTAATATGTTCTAATTGTATGATTGGTATAAGTACTATTGTCAACGTCTACATATCATAACTGAAATTCATAGCAACAATATTTAATGGGTGATAAGTTTTAGATGTTAGTCTTGAATAAGTTAATATAAAACGTAAAGTCAATAAATACTTAATCTTATGGAATATTTTCAAAGTAATTATGGTGCTAATTAGTTGATTTTCGAAAAGAGGAAAAATATGAGTGTAAATTGTTGAATGTCTCCAGTTATAATGGTTCATTTGAGTTTGACCATGAGTTAGTGATTTACACTTTTAATTTAAAAAAAAACGAATTCAGTAGAATATTGCTTGGTTAATTTGTAAACCGAAAATTATTTTCAGTATTAGAACTACTTCTCATTAGAATATGATTGCTCAGTATAAAAAACTGATAGAAAATAGAAATATAAGCCATAGAAGGGCAGTTCTGTGGTCCCTAAGTGAAGCGCTTGCCATGAAACTGGATGCACTAAGTTCGTAGTGAAAACCATAAGATTGCTTTTAATAGATTTTTACTAGTGTCTCCAAAATTAGACATTTTTTCTCTGAGATGAAGATCAGTTTCACTAACGTCTTGTGTGGTATACCAAAGATGCTCATGATTTTCTGGTAGATACTAATTACGTAAGTAGCCTGTATATGAATAGGAAAATTTATAAACAGTTTAGGAAGCAGAGATATTCAATCGAATAATTCTTGCCTCTCACATCTATTGTGGTTAAGTAAATAAATATTTTGTTACTGGAATGATGAATGCTGGGAGCTAGTTCTGACGGCAACATCAAAAGAATGAGATTCAATTATCTTCAGTTAATGAATTAGAAATAGAACTAAGAGGGTAATTAGGACTCACTTCTGATCACTATATCATGTTCACACAAGTAACAATTGTACTACTTATCAACTCAGATTATAAGTTCAATTAAGAATGAATAATTAATTAGTACTCAATATAATGATACATATTATGTACTTGTTCATCGCTTATTCAACTGGTGGATTTGAGTTATTCCCCATTATGTTAAGATTAATATTATTGATCAAGGCATGAAAATTGTCAAATTATCTTGTTACATAATATTTGCTGCAACATATGAGCGTTTGAAACTTATTTATTTCATAATATTACGTATTATCATTTCATCATGTCTTGTGATTAGATGTAGTTGACAGGGAATCTTGGATTAAGGGTACATCAATTACCTAGATTCCAACACGAAGCCTACATAAAATCTCAACATAGTAAACACGATGTCGAGTAAATTCACCTAGTCATCATATTACACTTTGTACAATAAGTAGTACTCAATCAAAGCTAAATGACCACAGAAATATGTCATTTTCATTAATCAATCAATTGTAATTCCATATTATGTTACCCAAAAACTTTTGATTACATATTCGAATGAGTTAATATGAATTCAATTTGGTTTGTTTATAATTTTAATGTCAAAGAGGAAAAGAAACAACCCCGAAAGCCAATTGACTAGAACACAGTATTCATTGAATACTTATTCATGGTGAAATTTCACTGAATCAAGTTTAACAACAATAATAATTATCATATTCTATTCAGTTTGTTGGCAAGCATCTTTTACACGTATATAATTCATATTGTTTCTATTAGAAATTAATGACATGTGAATTAAATTTAAAAGTTTTCAGTGAAAAAAAACTTTTTTTGTTTGGAATAATTGTAAACTTGCAAACGGAATGATAACCATTACAATGATTGAAACCACGTGTTTATCTATTGTGTATCACAGTGTTTAACAACCACCGCAACAACAACGAAACAAAGAATCACTTTCAAGAATTTCATTCTGATGTTTATGTATATGTATGTGGATAAACATGTATAATTATTATTTAATCACAAATCAAATATATATAAAAGTCAAATACAAATGGTAACTCACCATTGATCATAGGAGGTGTGGTTAACTATTAACAAATTTCAAGTCAAACATTATCATTATTATTATCTACACTACTTTCAATCAAATAATAAATAAACGATCTAATTCTATTGAAAACAATAAATTGTCAACTTCAAGATTATGGGATCTGTAAGTTTTCAAATGTTTACCCTGGAAAATCTAATTCATTTTGTATTGTTTATTTGAATCTTCTTCCCACTGATGTTTTAGAACTACAATTGATCAATCTCTTATTAGCATATGTGCATTCTGTACGGATTACCTCGATATTGCCTTAAGTTTTCTATTCAATATGAGATCATATTTTATTGAAAAACTACAATAAACTCCTGAAAACATGTTTGGTATTTTCTCAAGAAGTCACAAGGAAAAGCTTAGTTTTATAAGATTCGTTATTTATTAACAATTTTGTGAAAAAGTTAATCAATCTAATTAAAATAATCAATCAAATATTATGGGTGTAGTTAATTGGGAATTATGAAATTTCAACTTAACTTAGTTCACAATAAAAATAGTTTATTTTATTACTAAGTTAAATGAACAACATAGTTTTAATCAATATTGTAAAGTATGTTCATACCCTGAGGTTTCATTCAATAATTCATTAGACTGTTCATGCATTTATATATATATATATTTAGCATACTAATTATAATCATTGTTTACCTAATACGTAAATGGTTTTCTAGTCTATAAAATAATAAATGAAACCTTTCAGTATCTTATCAATAGTTTGAAGTATCATGGAATTTTACTTAAATGTATTACATTTAAAGAACTATTCATTGAATTGTACATTTCATTGAATGAATTTCATTTCAAATTTATATTCAATGAATCTTTGAATTATACAAGAACTATTGGTTATATTTTACTAAATAAATGGTAAATATTATTTTTGTTTATTTGGTGATGAATTGGTTTTTCTTCCAGTTAGAAACTATATATATTTTTTATATGTATAAGATTACATAACAATGATTCAGTGAGTGACTTGAGTAATGATGTAGATAACTGCATATAAATTGGGCCATATTTCTCAAATGATTATGAAAATACTAATAGGAGGTTGAAGTTAGACATAAGCACCGTTTTATACCAGCTCAGTGATCTAATGGTTAGGCGCTCGCGCGTGAGTCTGATAGGTCCTGGTCTCGAATCTCGTGGGAGGCGGGATCGTGGATGCGCACTGATGAGGAGTCTCATATTACATTTTCCATGGTGGTCTAGCTTTATTTGACTCATGATTTCAACTATTGAAATTAATAGGAAAGTATTACATTTTATAAGTTATTTATTTCAATACTGAAATCATAGATCTTTCCTATGCCAGGAATTAAATGCACAAAATTAGAATGTTTTTTAATTTTCAAACTGAATCTAATGTATATTGGTTTACACCTATAACTAAGTGATTATTCTTCCTAATGTCTTACTCATTCAGTATCAAAAGTAATAGCAACTAATATAAACAACTGATCAGGCGTTAGTACATCAGTACAATAATGATGTCATTTATAACAATGGATTCTAATAATCTATTAATCTTTCCTCGATTAAATTATTTTGATAATGAGTAATAGTTCATATTATGTCATGATTTAAAGAAATCATCCTGAAGAACCATTACAAATTATGAAACAGTGTCTGAGAAATCTTGATATTCATACATATTTTACGCTCAATGGTACTTCGAAACGACATTGGAACTAATTCTTCAGGAAATAAAAAATGTCTCAGTTTATTGTCAACTACTTCATTGTTGACTAGTACTGTAGATTCTAGAAATTATCGTAAACATTGTTAAACGAAATAATGAACAGCTGTGAAAGAAGTCAATAAATATTCAATAGAATATGTTGTCTTTAATGAAAATTATATTTCTTTCAGAAGGTAGTTTATGATAGGCAACATATGCAACATCTGTGCTCAAATAATATTATAATGTAAAACAATTTTGGATTAAATATATCCATAGTTCATTAAGATCGGAAACTATTTAGTTATGAAGTATTTAGGTTTAGATGATCAAAGGAAAGTCAACAGTTCAAAAACCTGATTCATTTCAAGTTTCTTTTAGCCTTTATCATGCCTGCTCAATTTACATCAAGGGAATGTTTCATTTTTAAAATTAATATCCGTATTGATTGTTTAAAAGATATAAGAATTTCATTTTACAGAAATTCTCATAACGACTTGTACTTTATCACATTGGATTTTCTCGGTTGAATAGTATGCTTATAAAATAATCATCTATTTAAAGCCAAATTCATTAAAACAATGGATGAAATGACAGAATTTTCAGCAAAAGCTAATAGGTTATGTTGTAATGTAATCTCACTATATCCATGCACATTTTAGTTATCTATAAAATCGAATTAATCTTTTACTGTGTAATTCTTTATTGTATTTTACATAAGCTTATGGATTGATAGTTGTCTGTGTATCTATGGATTGGTGAATGAACTAACTACTAAGTGACTGTATATTCTTTACTCGTTTTTTTTCTGTGTTAATTATTTCCAAGATCATAATATTTTCAAGTTGAATTCATATTGACAATTATCAGTATTTACCATAGTGATAAAATATATATACTTTTTTCAGTTTTACGTTACTAACATAGATAACTCCAAAGAAGTTAGCTATTTCATCTAGATTATTTCATCCAACTTGTTTTGTGTCCATCGTTTTGTACATTAAATACTGAATAAGTTTTATGCTCTGCAGACGATGACATTTTTAATACTTCACTGTAATCTATGTGGACAGCTGATGTTTCTAATAGAAAGTCATTCTACACAGTTTTTAATTTTGCTGCAAAACTGACATGTTGAAGCATATTTATACTTAAGTAACTGAGGTTTAGGGCAAACTGATTATATCAGTATTTATGATTCTAATAAAATTAAGGATTTGATTACTGTGTATCCATTTTTTTACACCACTCAGTTTTATATACGTAGAAATTAAAGGGTGTTATTTGATTTCATTCATAACTTAGACTTACTCTAAAAGACAATCCTGTTAACTAAGGATTATCATGTCATTAGTTTTTCAATGACTTTAAACTATAATATGAGAAAGGCATCAGTAGACTATACTAAATTTTAACATTGGACAGTTCTTACGAATTATTTATGTTAGTAATCAGAACAAAAAAAGAGTGATAGACTAGTCTCATATCTGTTATATTTGAAGTAAATAAAGTTGTGACTTCATAAATGCCATTGATTTGCTATTGTCATTTTTTAAGTCAGCCCAAGTTTTCATATTGTCATTTCACAATATTACGTTAGCGGTTTGAATATGCATATATATTAAACAAGAATTACAGTGTTTCGTTATCATTCATGTTTGACATTTTAAAGTTTGCTTATGAATAAATGAGAAATATGACAAGATATAGTTAATTACTTGTATCAATCATAAGGGGAGGAAATATTCTTTTCGATAATACCATTTACTTAAGCTATATACTTGTATTTCTGATAATTTGACATGTATATTAGTTTACTGAAAAATAGAGAGAAGTTAGGTCAAAAATTATCCTGAAACAATGAATACCAGATGTTTGTCACTTAATGATCTAATAATTAGTCAATGATGCTAAGAGTGTGGTAGTTTAACCATGAATGTTCACTTGATTTGTATGAGAAAATGAATGACTGAATGCTGTATTAACAAATAACCAATAATTAGGAAAGTAAAATTTTCAGGGCACTAACAGCGAATAACAATCAGTTACGGAGATTAGAAAAGGGATTAATACCACAATACAATGAGAGACTGAATATTTCACTTTAGTATTCTGGGCTTAGGCTTTAATCGATAGATTGTCAAGATCTCTGCAAAGGATAAGTCTTTGAATTGTACCCTCCCTCTATTAAACCGTATTGATGAATTTGAAAGATGATGTGGCAGTGTGTCCAAAATTTAAGAGATGTTTCATACTTGCATAAACCACTTAACAACCAGGTAGGGCAATATCCAGGGAAGCGTTTTAAAAGAGCTCGCTTCCAAAAGCGAAAATACTGTTATACAAGAGCATGTAAACCGAAAAACGCTCAGTAATGTTATGACAGATTATCCTTGATACCTTCAGGAGTCAAAGCATAGCTGAAAATGACAGTACAAATTTGAACAGTTCACAAGATTTTTTCAAAGATCAGGAAGATCTTCTTTTCAAGACCTATTTATTGTTCTTGAAGGTGACTTTATTAGTACTGTAGTTGGTCTCTCATATTACAACGCCGACTTTGTTAGTGCCGATGGTTCTAGAAGGTTAGACATTATTGAAAAGTAACTGTCGAAGTTTATCCACTTTGTCTTTGACTATATCGTCAGTACAGGTTAGTCAAGTCATAGATAAAAGCGATTTAATGAAGTTTCTTATCCACCTGTACTGTGCACAAATTCAAAAATCATTGTAGTGACAGGTTTAGTTTGGCCTTCTGTAAACTGATCTTTGTAGTGAACCATCCGTTATTCTTTTTAGGACATACAGGAATTAAAATTTCAAGTTCTACTATGATTCTTGTGTGAACGTAACTGACTTGTGATAGCTACTGAACATCTGCACATCGCTGATTTCAATACCTTCGTCAAAATCGTTGGAATTGTTCTATATCGGAACCTGTCCTACTAAAATGGCATCTAAGTGTTCATATTTTCAGTCATTAAGAGATAAGGGACATTTTTAACTATTATCACTTATGGATTATCAACAAAGTCTGAACGTGATTATCTACACAGGTCACTGTTGTTAGTTAAAGCCAGAGGTAACCAACCTCTAAACACATGAGTATTATTAAAAAAGATGAATTTTAAAGATTACATTGTGCTGACTTTGAGGGTCTTTAATTTTACTCTGTTGAACTAAAATGAGATACCAGTTTGACAGTTACTAGTTCTTAACGACCTCTCCGTAAACATCAATTTATGATACAAAACAAATTTATCACAAGAAAATTTGTTCCTAAAAAATTAATTGCCAAGATGTTTATTTGTTTATTTACATTTTCAAAAGAATAAAAATTTCACGAAGTCGTTGGCGCTCTCTGTATTCTTGACGTGTTTAGGATCATCCTTTACAATTGGTTACAATTTAGGAATATTAAATTTGCCAGGAGAGGTAAGTCAATTACATGTTTGATGAAGAAAATGACTTTTTAAACATGATAATTAATCACTAAATGACCCGGAGAAATGACTGAAACGATTCAAAATATTCAGTAAAGTTATCGGTCAAGAATGAAAGATTACACTGTGCATTCTATTTTAACTCAATTCATTAATAAAACATTAATGATTGACTAGATATTGAATTGATGTAGTATATACCACTCGTTATGACAGACGTTTATCCATCAAATTGTATTAGTATTGACGAATGAATGAATAACCAAAATGAAGAATCAAGCTTTAGACTCATACATCATACAAAATATGGAATAAGTGATTATGTTTGTAAGGCGAATAAATCTGTTAGCGTGTTGTAGCGGTGAAATGATTAGCATTCGATCTGCACTACGAAGGACCTGACACATATGACATTGATCCCTACCCAGTGATCAATCAATTGTGAATATATCACAATTCTACAGTAGGTCAGTCGCGGCTCGATAGCCCAGTGATAACACCATTAACTGTGAGGCTGGATGATACGCTATCGAATCCGTCAGGGAGATCGCAGGTACACCTTGCTGACGAGTGCCAAGTAGCAAGAAACCTTGGTTTAGGGTTTCCTGTTGACTACCTCTAACCACCATTGTATCTCAACATAGTGCACGCAACGTCGAGTCACCTAAACTAATGGCCACATTACAACTTGGTCTATAGCATTTAATTTGCATTAAGAATGACCTGAAACACATGACATTGATCACCACCCAGTGATCAAACAATTGTGACTTAGTACATAATGTATGTTTGAATAATGGCGTAAATCAAGCATGATTATAACATTGGTAATTGTAAGTTCGAATAAAAGGAATAATATTTTTATTAAAAATTTGATCATTATAGGTTGATGTCAACTTTGCCGTTCCTCAATGTTCAAGAAACATATTGTATCTAGCACTTCTCATCACTTTCTTATCTAGAAAGTGTATGATGACTAAGTATTCAAGTGTAAATTTCATTAGAAACTACAGTTTAAGTTCTAAATTTCAACCTGGATGCTTGGATGAACTACACTGATATGTTAATAACTGATATTTTTTGGGTAAATTCAAAGGTTTGAAACGAAATGTTTACTAAGAAATGTAATCCAATATTACAACAGATGAAACGATACTAACTAGTTAGAAGCTTATTTACAAGAAAATATTAATTTAAATATTAGTTACTAAGATGGTGTAAAGTATTGTTAGTAATAAAAATTGAACTAGTTCTGAACTGAAATGTAGTTAAACATTATGTGGAATTATTGAGAACTATGTTGGACGTTTATCAATTATTTAAATTATAAAAATCATAGTCTCAATTATGTCATCACTATTGATTGACATATTTATGGTACTATGGTAATAATCAAATAATAATTTTGCATGGAATCCAGATAATCTGTGTTATTTAACTTTCATTTATAGTTCTTTATCCATTTTATAATAAACAATATATGGAATATTTGCTTCTAATAGCCTCCAGAAGCTTTGTCACACAACCCTAGATTTTGTGACTATGGAAATTTCTTGATTAAGACAATATTTTGTGGTTAACAGTTTTCTTTTCAGTACATTCATGATTATTTGGAGTATATTCTTCTTGATTATCTAACACTTACTACATGGATTTTGCCACTGAAAACTTTTTAAACCTCTTTGTTTCATTTCTACATTTTTACAGCATATTAAAGAGTTTTTATCTCGTACTATGTTGGGTAAAAATGCAAGTGTAGCTGAAAATACAACAAATCTTGTGACACCAAGTTTTTTATATGCTCAAGTTAGCACAGCTTTTGTAATAGCTGGTGCAATTGGAGCTTTCAGTTGTGGTGCTATAGCTGATTGTTTAGGAAGGTAAATAATGGTTTAATTTGATTACAGATGGTGAGATTATAAATTTTGGATGAACCAATCAGATTTATGATAGTATGTCTTGGATTTTGGCGCGAAATTCATTTACTCATTTGGCTAAATAACATTTTAGCATTATAGCTGATATCAGTTCGTGATGAAAACATTAACTCTTATTCGTAACCCTAACGTTCAACTGTAAATCCTAATCCTGATTCTTCATACTAATCTATAATCCTCATTTAACCCTAGTAAGTAGGTGAACAATCCAAAGTCATTTTAGCGCTGCATAAAAATTGTCCATAAATTATAGTGTCACCTTATAGATTGCTAACACTTTATGATGGTTATTTGATTAACACTGTTAATAGCACGCATTTAAACGATCATGTTGATTCAACTTACTATTTGCAAATTATAAACTTAAATCATTAAATAAGTCTAATCCAAATGACCTCCTTTATTGATGACTTCAGTTTTAACATTTGATTATGTTGAAAATAATACAGTAGAACCAAATAAAGATTAAATTTTGCGTTAATGTTTTGAATATTATCAGATGTTCTTAGAAGAAATCTATGTAATGATATATCTATAAGTGGTTAAAACTCAATTCGATTGACGACATGCTGAAAGACATTTTGCGCACTAAATAAATGAAAAAATCACATCTTTTCTGGAAAGTTATTATACTTTAACTGCGTTATACAATAACGTAACACTAACCAGCTTTCATAAGCTTTTTTACGTATTTAATTAAGTATGGCTAGACTTGATAATTTCGTAAGATTGCTATATACTACTATTGACTACTCATTGTAAAAATGACTTATGATTACGATTGTACAGCTCAAGAAAATGACATCGTCAAAAGGAAATTTACTTAACTGAAACATCTTTGTACGTTGAATAGAGCAGTGAGACATTTCAGCGACTAAAACTTCATATTTCTCGAATTAGTTCAAAACTATATCATCCAAGTTTATTAGTTCGTGTTGTTTATTTTTTAAAGAAAATCGCTAAAATGATGTTCTCGTATTTACTTTAATAGACGTAATGGTCTGATAGTAAACAGTTTATTTGCAATCGCTGGAGGAATAATGGTTGGTCCATGTGTGGCATATAGTCAACCTGCATTACTATTTGTCGGACGTGTTTTAAATGGATTAAATTTTGGAATATCAATGGGAATAGCACCAATGTATTTAACAGAAATAGCACCCATATCTCTTCGTGGTGGAATTGGTTCATTACATCAGCTTGCTTTAACTATCGGAATACTTGTATCCTATTTAGCAACATTAACATACACACTAAATACATCAACTTTGTGGCCCATATCTGTCGCTGTTGGATCAATTCCTGGATTAATTGCATTAATTCTTCTACCTTATTGTCCTGAGAGTCCACGTTTTTTATTTATGAAGAAAGGAAAAGAAGAACAAGCACGTAAAGCCTTTCAGCGACTTAATTGTAAAGATAATATCGATGAAACATTTGATGAAATGAAAAGAGAAATGAATGAAGCTGAAAAACGACCAAAATTCAAATTTTCCAAACTTTTCACTCAGAAAGATTTACGTATGCCAGTATTAATTGCTTGTATCATACAAGTATTTCAACAGCTTTCTGGAATTAATGCTGTTAGTTTTGAACCCATTTAGTTTTAAATATTTTTTTCTTGATGAAATGTTATTAATCATAATAATTAACTCCATTTGTAGATATTGTAGATTTTTATCAACCACATATTCATGAATGAATGAATCCTTTGGTTAACATGATTAAGAAATTGATTCTCATATTGCACTACTTGAAAATCAAAGATATCATGCATGTATGATCAAGTTAATAGAATGAACTTTGTAACGTTATTGTGTTGTGTTATAGAGTTTCAACACAAGTCATGCTAGTGAACTAAAACATGTAGTGTGTATGAAAAAATTAAACTTTTACATCTCTTACGGGATAAATACATCGAATTTGTGTCATTTGTGAATCAAAAAGGTCATTTACTTAAGGTTAGAGTGATTCACAATTGATTGATCACTGGGTGGCGATCAATGTCATGCTTGTCTAGTCCTTATTATTGCAGATTGAATGCTAACGATCACGTTGCAATGTGGCCACCAGTCTAGGTGACTCGACACTGCGGGCACTATATATTGAGATTAGATGGTGGTTGGAGGTAGTCGACAAGAAACGATTGTAATGTGTCAAGGTATAATCACTGCAATATCAATAAAATCATATAAATAAATCATATAAATGAAATGCATAGTAGAACTTTCCCTGAACAATGGACAATATTAATAATAATAATAATAATAATAATGTCGTATAATAAGAGACGTGTTGTCAAAATTATTATGGTAAGAAATTTATGTGAATTGGGAAATATAAATGTGTAAATTAAGAATGGAACAGGATAAAAATAAAAATGAAGGGAATTGGGGAGGAGATAAAGGGCTTACAATGTTCAGTCGTAGTAAATGAATACCCAGTTGTCAGAGACAGAACATATCTCTCTTGAACACATAAGTAAGGTCTTCAGAGGTTGAAACCGACGACTTCAATTGTATGGAGAAGTCGTAATCTTTCTCTTTCAGGAAGATTACCTGAAATCTGGTGCAAAACTGAGAAAGCTACATCTTTTTTAAGATGATATTCACTATATGCCGAGTGGGAAATTGTGGCGTTATTAAGAGATTTCCTGACAACTTTTATCAAATGCGCCAGTACTTGTTTACAGATACTCAATGATAAACGACTCTGAGTACGGCCTATGTAAGTAAACCTGCAGGATCAGTTGAATTAGTAAGACACATGAACGAGATCATCGTTGCTACTTATCATCGATTCGTTATGTAAGTAATGACTTATATCTTAGCGGCGTGAAATGTCCTGTTAACAGATCATTTCAGTTGACATATTAAAATGTTACCTGATGTGTCTCCTTTAAGATCGAGGTTTAGACAATGAGTCTTATGGTTGACCTTATTGATATTCGGCCTATTTTTTGTTATGATAGATATCTTTTGACAAAATCACCTGGATAGCTGTTATTCCATTGTATATTCTTTAGTTTATACACATATGTATACAGGCAGAAGAATAAGAAGTCAATAAATAGTTGATAATAAACCGACCAAGATATGTAGCTGAAAATTAAAGCAATACATAATTCACAGAAAGTTAACAAAATAATTAAATTCATTTATTTTTACAAAATTTAAATTTTTTTATTTGGTTTTCTCTTTCAGGTGATCACTTATTCTTCTACAATGCTTAAAACTGCTGGAATTCCATTGATGTATATTCAGTTTTGTGTAGTTGCTGTAGGAGCAATTAATGTGTTAATGACTATAATTTCTGTATATTTAATTGAACGTGCAGGACGTAGAACTCTTCTTTTATGGCCAGCAGTACTTCTTGCTTTTTCATTATTATTTTTAACAATTTCAGTGAATGTAGCAAGTTCAACAAAAGATCCAACAACAGCTCGAACAGCTGGAATAATTTCAGCTGTTCTTATAATTCTATATGTTTGTGGTTTTGCTTTAGGTTTAGGTCCAATTCCTGGTGTAATTGTTGCTGAAATATTTAGACAAGAACCAAGAGCTGCAGCCTATTCTCTAAGTCAAGGAGTTAACTTATTATGCAATTTATTGGTGTTATTCAGTTATCCAAGCATTAATGTAAGTAATAAAGTTAATAAAATTACTTTCTAGAGATTGAAGTATGATATAGACATTTTCTGTTTCTGAATGTATTAAGTTAGAAGAAAATATGAATTGGAATAAGATTTTAACACAGACTCTGAAAAACTGGAAAAGTGGTCATATTGTAAAATGTCATCACTCATTCACTGACCGTATCCCAAGTTCAGTCGGATCATTATTTGAACATTATTACTATGATGTGTTGAATAAGACTGTTGTATACATTCTAGATAAATAACGTAAATAACAAGTTTGGACTGAATGTATGTGAAAAAAGGCCTAACAAAGATAGGCACATCTCACTTCTGATACATATTCTATTTACTTATTTAATAAATGATTACAATGCTATTACGGCGTGCACTTTGTATGTGGACAGATATAAGTAGTATGTAGCAGGAATAGGGAGTGAAATGCTTTCCAGCAAAATATTCAAATAAAGAGAACAAGAAAGAAAACGAAGTCCAATCGGAATAAGGAGAGAATAAGAAGAATTATAGAATATGTAAAGGACAACTTCAGAAAAACTTGCAATATACGTGTTTAATACATGATTAATATATTTTATAAAGGCACTGTGCGATTTTGCATAAAACGGTAAACTGTTTTCCCTTACCTGAGTCTTCGTCCATTGTTCTATGACATAGTTGAAAACTGTTGTAAGTTTGTAAGAATGAAAATCTTATTTGATTTTCACCTATTTAAACTAATTAAAATGTATTTATTTCGAAAGAAATAAGGTTATATGCTAGTACTAATCACAAACGTTACTAGGTAGAATTAGGTAACTTAATCATCATTTTGTTATAACTTAAACTTACCGAGTCAAATTTACAAAATTATCAAAACTATAGCTGACAAATTAGTATATCCAAAATTCATAGCATGGCAACATTACAAAGAAAAAAGACGAAACACTCAAATCTTGTGAATCAGGCTACAAACAATAATAGATTTATGTCGGTTAAACATCTTAGTAATCGAAGTGATTGATTAGAACCGTCGTATTACAACGATTTCATACGTTTGTACCAAACATATAAAACCATATCAATTAGATAATTATAACATTTTATTTTATCAGCCAAATCATTCAAGGAATTATCATTTAGATAGTTTCCTTGGCTGCTAATTTATAAATGTATCTCATGTTGATAGAAAATTAAAGTCAATTTCAGACTATAACATAATGGATAATAGTTATACTCAAACTATATATATAAAATAAGAAAGAAATGATTATATACGTTCACGAGAAAGTAAATTTTGATTGATTTTATGAGGAATAGAAACGTTTAAACAATCTTACTAATTTTCATCAATATTCAAAAGTTACGTCAATTGAGAATACGTATTTTTCACAAGATTACCTGTCGATCAGTAAAGAGATAAGATATATATTATCAAAAGTTGAGTAAAACACTTCTGAATCGGATAGTTTACCTCTTAAGGAATTTAGTATATTGATTATTTCTCTTATAAATTTTAAAGAATGATAAATCTTCTAAACTACAACTCAACTACATAATACATTTTTATGTCTAAAACGGTAGGTATTTTGATTTTTAACTTACTAATTACATACAACTAGAAAGACATACATTTGTTAAGTATATGAATGTAAATAGTAAACGTCTGAACAACGAATTGTCATATGATCATTTATTGGAATCATGAGAAGACTATTCGCATTCTTTCATGATGAAATTCTATTTATAAATAATGAACGATGTCAATAAAAATTATTCATAGTGTAAAAAACATGTCACTTATAAATGTTATAATGAATAATTTTCTGGTTAACGTTTTTTTAGCGAGTTAGTTTTCTACGGGATGGGGACGCTAACCCCATGCCCAACCCTCCTCCTTTATCCGGGCTTGGGACCGGCAGTAGCCACCGGAGGGACTCCAGGCGGAGTTAAATGTTATGATGACTGATACAAATAAAAATCAGACCATTCCCATATGGGCGATTACAAATATCAGCATTATATATATATGCCACGAACTATAGGATTTCACCTAGACTTATGGAACTCATCTTGATTGTTATTAACAGTTATTAAGATAGCAATTCAGGCCATACTGTTTAGTGGTAACGTAGGATTTTCGTTGTCAAAACATGTCATATTTCTCTTCCAAACTAATGAAAGTTGTTCAACTATTTCTGTTTAAAATATGAAATACATTCAAGTGAACATGTATCGTTGAATTTCATAATTTACATTACGCGTTTGTTTTAATTAGAGAACTATTGACAACCAGGAAGCATTGAGCAACTATTTTGTCTTAACATTGGATTTGATTAGAACTTTATATTTAGATTACTGAAATAATATTCAATTGTCTACATTTTGTATTCTCGGTATAAGAAAATACTTTATTCCAAATTTCCTTAAACTTGAATAATAATATATAACCGTTAAATTAATGAACCATCCCATTTTTAATATTATATTGATCGAGCTTATCACTTTCAATCTTTACTTTAACGCTATTTTTCTCTCTTTTTTTTCTGTCTTTGTTTTTTAAAGGATGCAATTGGTGGTTATTCATTTCTACCATTTTTAGTTATAGTTATTGTCTGTTGGATATTCTTTTATTTATATATGATTGAAACAAAAAATCGTACATGTGATAGTAATGCAAGAGATTTAGCTTCACCAAAAATTGTCGCTTGTCAACGTCCATCAAGATTAAGTTATAAAAATGAAGAACCATTTTATTCAGATGAATAAAATAAATTTATTCAATAAAATAAAAAAACACAACTGATTCACTTCACACACACACCCTCACCCCCCCCCAACAAAAGAAAAAAAATTGACAATTTTTTCAGATTGATTTTTATTTTATTCATCATTTTAAAACTGAAATCTTTTGGCTTGTTCATAAGTGGTATTAATAATAATAATAATATGATCATTATTATTATCGTTGATTTCTTTCGACAATATACGTTTGTTTGTTTATATCTGAGGAAATAATTCATTATTTCCATACTTTACTGCATTTTCTTAATCTATTTATTTTAATAAGATTTAAATGAAAGGAAAAATAGTTGAGATGATTACGCAATGATAAATAATTTGAATGCTTCGTTACATAACATTGTTTCTACTGTAAATATTAATAATAATAATAATTATTATTATTATTACATCAATTACATCAATTATTTTTTAATATATAATCTATTCCCCCGCCCCAGATACAGATTTCTATGTCAATAATTTTACTGGTTTTATTTTTTATGAACTATTCGATGGAAAACCTATTTCACATTTGATTTTTTTAAATGATAATGTATATCACTTTATAAATTGATATGAAAAGTTGTTTCATTTAACCATTTGAATACTTTTGTTATGTATAAAAAGATATATAAATTGTGTAACATACATATATATTGTAGAAAAAGAAATGGTATCTTAGATTGAAGATAGATTGAATTGATTGACTTTTAACTTTCATAAATTGACAACAAGTGATTTAATATCAGATGAGTTTTGTGAATATTATAGTAATTTCAATGGTTAAGATCATGAATTGGTTGAAGCTAGAACAACATGGAAAACCTGGAAGCACTGGACGGCTGTTTCGTCCTATTGTGGGACTCCTCAGCACTGTCTATCCACGATCATACCTCCTGCGAGATTCGAACCCAGGAAATATCAGTCTCGCGCGTGAACGCTTAACCACTGGACCACTGAATTGGCATCCAATAGTGTTAATGTCTAACTTCAACTAATCCACGAAATTGAGCGACACATCCACCACTGTCTTCAATGAGTTGGTATCTCACAACAGACCTGGTTGAACTCCACTGGTTACTTCTTCTCACTAGAAATTCAGGATATACCTCGAGAAGCCAGTGTTTAAGTGCTCGCGCGCGAAACCAGTAGGTACTGGATTCGAATCTCACAGAAAGCGAGGTCGTGGATGCGCACTGCTGAGGAGTCCGATAATACGACAAAACGGCCGTCCTGTGCTTCCAGGTTTCTCATGGTGGTCTAGCTTCAACTGACTCATTATCTTAACCATTGAAACAAGTTATTTATTTGATTTGAAATATTTCCATTTTTAAAAAATAAATATCAGTTATGTAAAGAATTAGATATGAGTAACGTGATATGTTCAAAATTTAAGTGAGAATTATTTGGAACACTCAATAGAATAAATAAATTAAACCACTAAAAATATACCCTAAGATACCAACGATAATGATGGAGATCAGTTTCACTAAAGGCTTCAATCGGTCATAGCGAAGTGCATTGGAAACGATATCACCATCCTGATGAGAGACTTCCTACGAGATATTGACAAACTCAATGAATTCAAGATAACTTTCAACATTAGTTTTTAAGCGTTACAAGATCTACTCACAGAAGAAGAAACTACTATGGAGGGCAATTGCAAATGGATCAATGAAGCACTAATTTCAACGTATCAGGAGGCATATATATATATATATATATATATATATATAGATTTTTTAACATACATACAATGTAGAAAAAGAAAATGTATCTTAGATTATAGTTTTAATTGATTGACTTTTAACTTTCATAAATTGGCTACAAGTTATTTATTTGATTTTAAGTAGTGCAAACTAGAAAATGTTTTCATCTTTCAAATAAATTTGAGTTATGAAAAGAATTAAATATGATTAAAGTGATTTATTCTAAATCTAAGTAAGAGTTGTGTGAAACCTGTATACCGAAATTAGTAGCTAATTTGGAATTTATCTATTTTAATAGTTGGTGATGTTTAGTTTCATATTGCATAAAGTGAATATTATACTTTGTAGAAGATGAAGTGGAATGATAAGATTTCGTACAAGTTTTGTTCCATACGAAACAACTGAATGACAATCCAATTATAAAGTAATTTTGAATTATAAATCTAAGAGTTTTTGAAAACTCCTCAGTAAGAAAATCAATACGCCTGACTTTCTGTTCTTTGAATATACGTACATATAAACCAGTTTATATAGTTGGTAAAAAGTAAAGTTTAATTTCTTGTCTTTAATTGTGCTATTAAGCATTGTTGTATGTACACTGTAGCCAGTTTGATTGCAAAGAATTAGGCAAATGTTGAATACTTAATCGTTTTTTTTACTTTAGGTTTGTGAATGATCAGATTTCGATTGCAAAGAACAACTTTTGTTTCCTTAATGAAGGGATATGCAGTTTAACTGAGTGAGTTTAATATGATAAATTGCTACACAGTGATATTTGAATAAACGTTTTCAAATGATGACGGCCTACTTAATATTGTGGTGTGGGTTACTTATATCCACACAAGTATTACATAACGGTGGTCAGGCATAGAATGTATTTCAGTAGAAGGTCGGTGAGGAAAGAATGGGAACGAAACGCAATTGGGATGAAAACGCATTAACAATAAAATCTGAGACAATAGATTGATGTTTGCAACAGGAACAGTCAAGTTTGATATGATGGATTGATACTGTGCAAATTAACGATTTACTATATGGTTCTCAGATTTTATTGAGATGCTCTGTAATTTCGTGTCAAATACATTCGATTGTCCCCACTCGTGTTTTGTTCACTACAATATTAGTTCGATTTTACCAATGCTAAAACTGAATGAATTAAAAGTAACATTAATCAATAAGAAGCCAATGAACAAACACTGCCTTAATGGTCTAACGTTACCTTTCACCGGTGCTATTCATAAATATTCTTCATATAAACCATAATATTTTACTTAATTATGTCAACACTAGTCATTCACTCTAGTCATGCTTTCAGCTCACTTAACGAATGATAACAGTTTACAAATTCCATTTACGACTTTTTTAGATTACACAGTCTCTCACTTATTTCTTTCTTACTTGAGTTAGAGGTATATTATTGTAGATAAATTGTTACTTTATGTAGGTCTTTTAAAAAGCTACCCTTTTTACAAACGACATTCAATATACAAATTTAATGTTTTTATACGAAATTAAAAGGGATCCAGGTCATCACATAGTCTTCATGTAATTTGGCATATAGGATGTCATTGCATGAAATATGTCTTAGGCTTAGAAAAAACCACAGAAATTGATGTTTAAAGTCTGTGATTTGAATGTATCCGTTTATTTCTATATGCAAAGTAACTAATGAAAAAATGTTATTATATTGGCAGTGATATTAAACTGAGACAATAAAATATAACACTTTAGAGCATAACTGTCCTCGTGGTATATGTTCTTCATGAAGATGCTAACGCCCTCTTAATCTCATACACGAGATGATTCATGTTTTATGGTTGTTTTGGTGAATTAAGTCTTTACTTACCGTTTCTAAATTATAGTGCAGACAATAGCTATATTTTACGTTCCATTAACCATAAAACATATTCAATCTTTTATCATAAGAAATGTATGTTCAAAATAGATATAACAAGCTGTTATAACAGATAATAATGCAAGTTCTGACAGACAAAGTGACTGTTTTGAATTACCAACATACTATTGGTCGATCTAATTTAAAATTACCTCATCTAACCAATACAAATCATCAACAGTAACTGTAGTAAATGAGATTATACCTTAGCATAAAAATATGTGGTAAGAATAGTGACTGTCAATTACAGGAATAATACTAACTAATATTTAACTAATTACTACTACTTACTTCAGTAACCCCTCGTGGAGGGGCATAGGCCGTCCAAGAGCACTCTCCATCCATCTCTGTCCTGGACAAACATTTCCAGTTCTTTCCAGTCGCTATTTATCATTTTCATGTTTGCTTCTTATTCTAGACGCAGTGTGTACTTCAGCCTTACACTTCTCCGTTTCCTTTCCATATTAGCGCTTGCCTTATGATGCAGGTTGTGGACTTCCTCACTGTATATCCAATCCACTTCCACCGTCTTTTTTTAAATTTTCTCTTCAGATGGAAGCTTGTTTTTCCTCTTCCATAACAGGCTGTTGCTCATGGTATCTGGTTAATGCACTCGTAGACAACTGTTTATAAAGTCCTGTATATTTTTGATGATGGCTGTAGTAGTCCTCCACGTTTCAGCTCCGTACAATAGAACCGTTTTGACACACGTATTGAAAATTGTGAGTTTGATATTGGTCAACAGGTGCTTCGAGTTCCATATGTTCATCAATTGTAGGAGTGCTGTCTATGCTTTGCCAATCCTCACCTTTACGTCTGTATCAGATACTTCTTGTTCATCTATGATGCTGTTCAGGTACGTAAAACTTTCCATCTGCTATCGAATTTGATTGAGTTGGTGTTCTCCACGATGATCTTGTGTTTTTTCTTTGTGTATGTTGAGGCTTAATGATGCAGAGGTTGCTGGCACGCTAGTTGTCTTGAACTGCATTAGTTCGTGTATAAGACAGAAGTTCAAATTTTCTAGTCGCATGCAAGCTGTCCATTGTATTCTGTGCTCCCCCTCAGATGTCGAGGTTTTCATAATCCAGTCAACCACCAGAAGAAAGAAGAAGAGGAGAGAGTAAGAATCTTTGTCTGACACCTGTTCTCACTTGAAATACGTCTGTTAGCTGTCCGCCATGCACAACTTTGCAGTGCAGTTCGTCGTATAAATTCCGAATTATGTTGACGATGTTTTCAGTTACTCTATAATATCGAATAAGTTTCCGTGATGTTCCCCTATCTACACTGTCAAATGCTTTATCATATTCAAGGGAGTTGATGTACAGTGGTGAGGTCCACTCAACTGATTGTTCAACGATAATCCGTAGTGTCGCAGTTTGTTCTGTGCACGATCGATCATTACAGAATTTAATCTGTTGATCTCAAAGCTGAGCATCTACTGAATCTTTCATGCGGTTCAGCAACACTCTGTCGTAAACTTTTCCTGGTACCAATAGTAGTGTGATAGCTGTGTAGTTCTTACATTTGCTCAGATCTCCTTTGTTTAGAATCTTGATGAGGTGTCCTTTTCAGTCTGTCGATAACACTTGTGCTTCCTCCTAAATCTTCCTGAACAGGACGTGGATCATGTTTGCACTTGCTTCTGAGTCTGACTTGACTGTCCCAGATGGTGTATTGTCAGGTCCTTCTACTATGTGGTTCTTGATTTTTATGACGGTCATCCCAATTTCTTTGATCGTTGGTGGAGTGACATTCATAGGTTGGTCAGCAAATGCTGCCTCGATGTCTAGTGTATTCAGTGGAGCTTGCATATTCAAGAATTTCTCAGTGTTCTGCCCAACGTTTCATCTGTTCTTAGATTTTAGTGATTGGCTTCCCTTCTTTGTCCTTGACCGGTCTCTTTGGTTTACTACCAGTTTTTCCGTTGTACCATATAGTTATCTCATGTCTCCTTCTGTTTCAATTTTTTCTGTCGTCGTTGCTTTGTCTCCCACGTACTCCTGCTTGTCGATCCTAATGCTTAATGTCACTCTCTTGTTTGCTTCTGTGTATTCAGAATATGCCTTGACGTTCTCTGCTCTTGTTCGATTGTTGTTAATTACTCTCTTCTTTTTCATTCTTAAATCCTGTACAGGTTTTCCATAGAGACATTGTGGTGGTCGGTATTCGTTATAATCCTTAAACTTCGTATACAGTTCGTCTTGATAACCGTTCTATATAACGTACCAATGGTATATTAATCAGAAGGCAAATACGAAGTGTTGATTACGTTTATTGCGAGACCACACACATATATCCAAATGTACAGATGCGTTAAAGAAGCATAGAAGAGTTGTGCCGAAAAGCAAGCAAGCAAGCGAGAGCCAGAGCAAGAGCGAGACGAGAATGTGTGTGTTTGTGTGTGAGTGAGTGAGTGAGTGAGTGAGTGAGTGAGTGAGTGAGTGAGTGAGTGAGTGAGTGAGTGAGTGAGTGAGTGAGTGAGTGAGTGAGTGAGTGAGTGAGTGAGTGAGTGAGTGAGTGAGTGAGTGAGTGAGTGAGTGAGTGAGTGAGTGAGTGAGTGAGTGAGTGAGTGAGTGAGTGAGTGAGTGAGTGAGTGAGTGTTGAATATGAATAACATGGACATATATATACCATGTGAAATGAATGAGTAATCGAATCAAATAAGCGGTTAGTAGTAAGACTAGCAGAGTGAATAAATGTGTAGGCAGTAAGCAATATTCAAGCATACGTATTTCATACAAGCACAATATAATAACGGTACAATAAGTTGTTATAGTGCGGATGACTTTGTCCGCTAAATGAGTTAGCAAAAGGGCTTAACTGAGTTAAATGAGGATAAACTCAATTGCACGTGAGTCACTATAACACACCCCTTATGATGATGCTACTTGAAACTCGGCACTTCCTAACACGCTGAAGTTAGTGCTTCATTGATCCATTTGCAGATGTCCTCCATAGTAGTTTCTTCTTCTGTGAGCAGATCTTGTAAGGATTAGAAACTAATGTTGAAAGTTATCTTGAATTCGTTGAGTTTGTCAATATCTCGTAGGAAGTCTTTATTGAAGATTTGCACTGCTGCTTGTCTAGTTGTCCAGTGCATCTCTAGCTCCAGTTCCATCTTGTTAATTTTCAAGTGGTGATGTGAAACTATGTCATCTCCTCTCCTGTTTCTCACACATTCCATTGAACTTGTGAACTATTGAGTGCTGCAATTATGATCGATCTGGTTGTGTGTGATGTGATCCGATGAGACACATGTAGCTTTATGTATGCGTTTGTTTGGTAATATAGTTCCGACTATAATCATTTTGTTGAATGTTCACAAATTTTCAGCTCTGTCAACATTCTGCTTCGTTTCTCCTAGTCCATTCTCGTGATCGGGTTGTACCTTCATAAGTGGTGTTGTCGATTCGGAGTTTGATGTTTAGGTGTCTCATCAGGATGGTGATGTCGTTTCCAATGCACTTCTCTATGATGGGTTGGAGCTTTTTGTGAAACTGATCTCTATTATCATCTTTGGTATCTTGGGTCAGGTTTTAAATGGTTTCATTTATTTATTCTGGATAGCGTTTTTCTGGCGTTGTTTCCTTTTGCAGGATAGGGATTTCGAGCCATTCCTAACCCTTCTCGTTTACTCGAACGTGGGATCGGAAATAGCCTTAGCAGAGACACAGTCGGAGTTAAGAGAGTGCGACTATTTCTCCAGCACTAAATCTTTTAAGAAGAGAAGCCAAAATGATCATTTCAGAAAACGAGTCCTAATAGCCACTCACTTGTGCATTGTGGTGAACTTCGCATTCATATGGTATTATTTGCTTGAATCTTCCGGTTGTTGTTTGAAAATGCAATCAGTCTCTTGTCGGTATATGTGCATTCTTTGCAAACTGCCTAGATATTGCGTTAAGTCGCAAGCAAACTGTACTGGTTTCGAGTCTCGAAGTGAACATCAATTCTGAAACTCAGGGACATCTAGCTCACGAGTCGCAAATAGGACGAAAACGCCCGTCCCGGATCCCACTGCTAACCACCATCCATCATTGCTTATAAAGCTTGTGACTTAAAACAATCTTCACAGGATGCACATATACTAATATGAGACTGATCAACTGCAGTCCTAAACATCGATGGGAAGATTTAACTAAACAATATCATGTGATATTTGACTTCATTCGAATTTTCCTTTTGTTAAAGTCAGTTAAGATGGAAACTTTATGTGCTGATGTCTGTTTACTACTAAAACAATTCAACTTTTAGTAACTTATTTGTTGTTGTTGTTGTCATTGTGTTTTTTCTTCTACTTCCTGATTATTTGTTTGACCTGATTTTAAGGACATATTCCACTGTTTTTTTACCATAAATATTCTACCTACATTCAAATAGAACTCAAATGACTTCAGTTGAGAATAGTTTTTTTTTAAAAAAAGAGAAGGAACTATAAGATACTCCATGTTATGATTTTTTGAAACTTAACAAAGTTGTTTATGGTGTGTGTGTGTGTATTTAAACTGAAGTAACTTTATATTCACATTAGGACTGTTTATTGTTGTTAAACAAAAACAATCTATAAGGTAACTCATCTTTGAAAATTGTTATGTTTAGTAAACCGACTAGAAATTAATGAGTTTACTATATGGAAATGTATTTTTTAAACAATACAAAATACTTTCTTATTTGATCTTTCTTTTATTATTATTTAATATATTGTTTATCGCTTTTGTAGGCTTCAATAAACTAAGCCATATTTATATAGTTAAAAGATTATGTAACAAACACAAGAAGTAAATTACTAAATGATGATGCTTTTTTTACAGTTATGACATGCAAAGTGATTACCTGACATTCATTCACTTGTTTTTTATAATAATAATCAGGAAACGGAATGTAGGGACCTTAGTAACCATTTATATTTACATTAAGAAACCTAAGGATAACATCAGTTACTGTGGTAGAATAGAATTATATTTTGTGAATGTTTGTGACTATATATAGAGATGAATGAATTACGGCAATCATTTTAAATATTTTTTGTCAACGCTGTATAAAGTTTCAGTAAACTGAGTTAACACTATTGTTGTGCTATCAGTTATTATGAGCATAACATTACGCATTAACTTCATGATTGTTTATAGGACTACTTTGTTGATTTCAAGAGATTGATTAGTTGTACAGTAATGGATTTATATGTATTTCAGAATTTTTTAAAAACTTCTACAAATTGATTCTAATTGTCAAGATCTCTGGTGAGTTAAAGTTTGATATCAGCCAAAGAACAATTAAAAAATATATAATTTCCTATTATATAGTAACCAAATCGTTATAGACACGTTTGACCAGAAGACTGTAACTTCTCACTAATCAAATAATTGTCATCATATCTTGCGAACAGATAGGAATTAGAATATTTAATCATGTTGAGTACAATGAAACCGAAAGTCTTCTTCAACGTCGAGTGAAGTAGAGGTTATACTTTACTGAAAATTTATATAACGCGACAGAAGTACACCGTATAACTTGCTTCCATTAAATTTTAATCCGTCATATAAAGTATGTTTCTGCAAATCTGCGTTCTTGTCTTATGATCTAGAGAGCTCAAAATTTAACGTGAATAAAATTGACCATACTACTCACTAATTCAACTGTGAAATTGTGAAATGATTATCTTAATAACATTAACTCATTGAATTTTCTAATGCATATTTAAAGTAAACCATAAGATAACAATACACTTCCATAGAAGTGTTGAAGAGTTTCAGAATCGATTATTCAAAAATTTATTTTTGAAAGCGTTTTTTTTCACATTGTGAATTTGATTCTTGAAAATCCGTTCTTTAAAATTTTATTTTGCATGAATTAATACTTCGACATTCTCTTAATTCATGATGAATAAAATATAAAAATGAAAATTAATTCGGTGTCCTTCTGAACTAAGGGGGGCTATTGGTTTAAGTCTCAGAATTGAAATCGACATTGAGATACAGTTCATTTAGTTAATGAATTCCAAGCAGGATGAAACGCATCCTTCATTTCGTTGGTAGTCACCACCTAACATCTAAAAAACATTTACCGCCCTTTTATTATATTTTTTATCTACTCACGAGTAGTCAAAAATAAGTCATAGATTTTACGAAGATTTGAAGGAAAAATGTTAATGAAATAAAATCATTAACAGAATGGAGGTTTGTGGAGACTGTAGTAAGTTTTTTAGTTGAATTCATGAACAGATCTAAGCTAGAGAATCTTTGAAAACCTGTAATCACTAGATAGTCGTTTTGTTCTTGTACAGAACTCCTCACCTACGTTCACTAGTGACTGGCTTCTGGATGGATCTGATGGAGTTTTGGTGAGAAACTTTGACCAGCGGAGTCAAATCCGTGTTGAGTAGAGATAGTTATCTCCCTCAGACAATGTAAGAATGGTTACTCAAGATCATGGATTGGTTGAAGTTATACATTAATACCGTTGGATGCCAGCTCAGTGGCCATGATATGTAATTTGAAGATAACAAAAGTTGGGCATGGTTGACAGCAAAACCTGATGATTGATACCTGTTAGCAAAATATATCTGTGTTCTAGAAGGAATTCATAAATCTTGTGAGATTTTAATTTACTTTTTATAACTTTACAGTTTCAGACATCACCACTAAGCTACTCAGGCCATGACTGATCTTTGAGACTGAGATGTTTACAATTGTTGATAATTGTTGTCTAGTCATTTAATTAATAATCGAAATACTAGTATTGCGGCCACACGTTTAAGTGGTATGAATTTGCATGCGCTTTGTTTTGTATGGAGAATATACACAGTTGAACTGGATGAGAAACAGCAATATTAATTAAAGGTAAAATGAACATAGTTTTACGATCATGTATCTTGTATGTATAACTCTACTGTCTAAAGACAAACATAAAATCAAAGTAGTGTACATGCGACTACAAGTTGGTGCAATAGTATAATTAAGCTCATTTGATTCTAATGGTTTACTGAAATGATTCGAGTGTTTACACCAATCAACTTTAGATAAAAACGTTCACCTAGTTCAATGTAGCACGTTTCAAAATTGGCTTAAATAATCATTAATTCATGAATTGGTTTTATTGATAATAATTAAGAGACATATTATCAGCCCTGGATAGACTAACATGTATATCCTGGTTAAAAACATTATTCAGTTTCATGAATATGGAAATAAATGTGAACGGTTAAGTTTGGTTCAAAGCGTAATCACTTTATTTGTCATGGATCTGAAAAGTGTTTTCAGACATTAATGAATAATAGCACTAAACTCATGATGTTAAATTTATTGTAGACATTAGTATTATCGGTTGATAAGCTTCGAAAATTACATTTAGTTTTAACTAACTATCAACAATAACTTCTAAATGTATCTGTTTCAGAGATTTTAATGAAATTCATCTTAACTAGGCGATTATTTCCATTTTAAGCTGACATCATTTATAAACCAGATAAAAGTAGAAAAAAGGTTTCTTTCTAGAATGGTGGAACTCTTTAAAATCATAATGCTATCACTTTGACTGTAATTTACAATAACAGTGTGAGATTGCTGTAATTCGAATATTCAAAATTTAAATGTTCACATTTCTGACTGCAATTAACTTATAAAACATAGTTTGATTATTACGGTTATATAATTATCCATACTGTCTTTCAAAAGTTCTCGTCGCTGATATTAAATTATTAGGAAGAATGATTTTGAGTTTTATGAATGTTAGTGCAAAATGTGATGGTAGATAAAAGCTCCAGAATCTCCATGGTCATTTATTAAGAGAGTATAGTTAAATTATTGAATCACAAGATTTTACCGCAACTATGTGTATCTGTGAATTCAGCTACTCCTATAAAGAAAGCCATATCGTATATGCAGCCAGACAGCTTAGCCAATAATTTATTGAATAACTCTTAAGCACTTATATCCATAAGTAATTCGTAGCATTCTTATCTCTTCCTTTTCTAAATAAAGCCTAGCTAAAGATTTTACTTATTATTATTATTATTTTTATTCTGGATGTCTTTTGTTTGCTTATTTTCCTTCACCCTTTCTCTAAAATATTCTCCACTATCTAGTAATTTCAACACTCCTTATTATGTAGTTTTAGTAATCTATAGTGAATATTATTAGTTTTTTGAACTACTTCCTAATTTGAAACACTGATCCAAGGCTTTATTATTAATATTATTATCACAACAATTCCCCTGTTGTCATCATAACAATTTTTTTTAAAATTTTTACTTATTAAGTTTATTGATATAATGTATTTTATTGTTACCATTGTATCTGGAAATGTCATCATGATAAGAATTTAGTTAAAACAATAATGTTCATTCACTTGGTAATGTTTGTTTGAATGTTCTCAGTGATGTTCAGGACTGCAAGTAATCAGTCTCTTATTGAGACATGTACATACTGTACGTATTGCCTTGATATAGCCTTAATTCACAAGTATTAGATGCAAAGATGGATAGTGGATAGCAGTGGAATCCAAGACCCACGTTTCGTCCTATATAGGGACTTATTAGCTGGATGTACCTTCATCTCAGAGTTGATGTTCTCCGGGGACTTGAATCCATTACCGTTCTCTTCAAACGCTATTTCTTTATCCATTTAACTACTGAGTCCTGATAGCCACTTGCTTGTACAATGAGGTGAAGTTTAATTTCACTTAGTACTGTTTGTTTGAATCTTCCTATTGTTGTTTAGGACTGGAATTGATCAATTTTTTTATTGGAATATATGCATACTCTGCGTTTCGCCTCGATATTGACTTAATTCACAAGCTAAGTGGATAACGCGATGGCGTTTGAAACGAACAGTACTGAGTTTGAGTCTCAGAGTGAATATCAACTCTGAAATACAGGTAAATCCAACTGACGAGTAGCAAATAGAATGAAACGCGAGTCCTGAATTCAAATGTTTGTGTCGAACAAATATTAAAACAGTAATGAAGACAGAATGTTTCACTTACTGTTCATTTAACCAATAATGTTTTTACGATTTATTTTAATGCTTCATGTATATATATAATAAAAGTATTTTTCAAAACTTTGTTTAAATGGTGTATTAAATTTACAAACATTAAGTAATTAATTTTAGTAATAAAATCGATTTCAATTAAACCGAAATCTTCTTTTACATCTGAAAATAAAAAAAAATTTGCAAAAAAAATTTATTGAGTAAATAATTAGTAAGTGTTTTTTTATGATTGAGATCATGAACCTATAGATGTTAGACCATCATTGAAGACCTAGAAGCCCTAGACGGCCGTTTCGTCCTACTGTAGGACTCCGCAGCAGTGCGCATCCATGATTCTGCTCGCGGGATTCAATTGATTTATTGATAAGAGAGGAAGTTGTATGCTTTGTTTTCTATTGAAATGACCAAACATTAGTTAGATTAAGGATAAGCATTTTATTCAGATTCAAATACTTAATAGTTTACGGGGAAGGGGTTTGTTTATTATTTTAGATCAGATAGAAACAGCTTAAGAATGATGACGTTCATTGCAGTCATTGGGCCAAACGGAATCCAATAATAAGTATTTGAAGATTGTTATGTGAATTGTTGAAATTCGAAACTATCATTTCAGTATTAATGAACTGAGATTAAACAATCAAAATTCTATGTCACATAGTTACTTGCACAATTTAAAAGCAGTCACATATAATGTAAGACTAACAGATGAAACCGTGCAAGTATATTCTAATTCTACCAAATTGAACCTATGAATAAGAAGTTGGAATTACTGAAAATCTAATTATCAAGATTAAATGAAATATAGTATGACAACCCAAATATTTAGCAGGCATAGATTATTCTATATGACTTCTAGCCATACTCTAAGCACGAAATATAGGATTTAGGCTTATTATTTATATTCTTGCTTCATAAAGTTTCATATTTGATGTATTCAATAAACGTCTAGTTTAGATTTGGTTGTTTTTCTATAATTTATCATTTACCATAGAAATATTACGAGAATGTTCGATACTAAAAATGTATCGCTTACATTTAAGTTGACCGTATCTATTTTCATAAACACATGTGCATTGTCTGAAAACAACATGAAAATTTAAGAAAACAAAGCATAAATATACATTTGAGATTCATTGCAATTAGTTAACGTCGACGTCAACGATCACAAATCGACTGACATACATAATGAAGTCAGTAAATGTTATGTAATCAGTTTGATACTCTAAATTTGTAAAAAAAAATACTACGTTGAAGTAAAGGAATGAAAGTCTGCAAAATGCAAAGTTATTCATCCAACTGAGTATTTGTTTCGTTTTGCACGAATTTGTTTCAGTAAACTATCGTAGTGAACGGGGACGTAAACGGGACAACCAAATGTATTTGAACAAAGAGTTACAGAGTTATTTGTTTATATGTTCAATAACTCATTTGCAAAATGTTCATCAATTGTCCTAGACTTTGTTGTCCCTTCGTTTCCATACCAACCACTCTCTGTTTCCGTACTGTTCTATTCAATCTTTTCAACCTTCTACTGTCAGGCATTCCACTTTCGATTGATGTTAAATACTACTTATATCTGTCGACATAAGTAGCACACAACACACTGTCTGTACTGAATAGATTACTTGGTTCGGTTATCGCTTATGAGTAATAAATGTCTATTGTAGTTACATTTCAATATGTTAAATTGTGAAGATCTAAAATTATCGTTTCATCGTATCAGACAATAAATAATCGGAATTTCTGGAAATCATTCTTTCTTCCTTAACATATACCTATTTATCCTACAGTTCTTTCGCAAAATACGTTCATAAAAATTTCAAACTAACCAGATTGATTCTTGTCATGGTAACATGTAATCTATAGATATTAGAATTTAGTACAATCAGTATTTATATTTACTGACATTCTTTCATTAAATAAAACAAAAATATTTAATGGTAAAATATCATATTACTTTATTCACTATTAGTAATGATAGTGTTATAGCTGATAAGCGGCAATTATCACAATCCTACAGGGTTTAGTGACCTAATATCATGTTTATATGTTGGCAGTAGGTACTTATTCAAGCGGAATAGTGCGAATATAATTAAATATATATATGTATATACAATCAGCAATAAAATCATTTATGATACCTCAGTGTTAGTTATATTTCATTCAGAAAAACTATCCATCTGTAGATATACAAAACACTAATTACTCACATTGATTGAAATTCCTCTAAAAGTGTGTAAAATAGTTTTTCATTCCTTTTAAATATGACTTTACTAAGATTTGTGTTCAAGTAAAAAAATGTTCAATGTTTTCATATTATTTTTTAAAAAATAATAAATTACCATACAAGCCGAATCTGGATCCATGCTAGAGATTGTATCAATGTATTTGTCAATGAACATTCCTCCTAGAAATGAGCACTGAAATATAAGAAAAAAAATACAGATCGCGAATATTTTATTATGCTATTTAATCAGTAATGAAGCTTTAGCTTCAGACAATAAATAAGTACAGACAAGCCCAAACTTCCTAAGCTACACTAATAGAAAAACAATTAGATATTTGTGTTCATTTAATACTTTTATTCCTAAATAATATAAAATGGTGAAGTATTAAAATACTAAACAGCTTCACCTTAATCATCCATTGAATGTCAGTGAAATATTTGAAACTATGGAGATGTTTTTTGTTACTAAGTACTTTTTTTGTTTTACAAGGTTTCATTTTTTCTTTCATCTTCGAATGAGCGATAAACTGATGTTTGGTAAAGTTTTATATTTGAAACCAATTTGCTCTTCATGACTGCTAATTTAAACTTTAAACGAAAGTGACCATAAAAGCCAATCAGCAAAATGATCAGCTTAATTACGATAAGTAAAGTGATCAACTAGTCGAATTACAGATTTGATTTAAATTTGTTCTCAGTTAATAAAATGTTTTTTTGTTTCATTTTTGGGTAATTAGAAATGTCAATTAATGGTATTTGAATATATTAGATGATAGTATGATGTGGACTATGTAAAAGCACGTCTTTGTCTTTGAATTTTTCTTATACTGCTGACAATTCAAAGATATATTTAACAGTATAGGGTTGTAGAGTTTGTTGAGTTTCAGTTGATATCATGAATCAATGAATGAATGTTAGACCACCAGGTTTTCAATGATGGTCTAACATTAATCCATTCATGATATACTAAACAGTTGGAATGATGGTCTTCTAATTACGAATCACCACACATTTTTCTGATTTTTACTTTATTTTATCTTCAAACTAAGTGTACTTACTAATTTTTGGTAAATATTTGTAAACTATTGCAAGTTAAATCACTAAGTGGTTCTTAAAATACAACCGCTGTGGTTAAAATATACTCTCTTTCCTAATTATTTCTATGAAAAAATATTGATGTTTTTTTTTTTGTTCATACATCAAATACTTTCTGTAATGAAAAGAGATGTCATGAGAATAAAGCAAATCATGAACATTTGTTAATGAATTTGAATGATGACTGGTTATAGTTTGAGACTTTTGAACATATTTCCTATGCCTTTACAAGTTAGAAGATTATACAGTGGGGATGTTTTTTTTTACATTTTTTTAGTATATAATGTTCTTAGAACTATTTCATGCAATCAAACTTATGTTATTAAAGAGGGCAAGTATTATCTTTTTTTTCAAAAAAGTCGCGCTGGGATTTCAAACAATAACAAGAGAGATATAAGCATATATTTTGAAAATTAAAGACAATTACTCAGTCAGGATCCAATGGTGTTCATTTATCACCTCAACCAATCCACGGGGTTAAGCGTTAATTTGTGAGACCAAAGATCCTAGTTTCGAATCACGTGACCAGGGCCGTTGATACGCACTGCTGAGGAGTCTCATAATAGAATGAAACGGTTGTCCAGTGCTTCCAGGTTTTTCATGGTGGTCTAACATCAATCGATTCACAATCTCAATCAAAAACCTCATAACCTACACAACCCCATACTGACAACAGACAACCTTAAATTGCATCGTATCCGAGTGTTAGCAGTTTCGTCAAATAACAATCAAATATCAAGCAATTTTTATTTCAATAAATGAATCAAAATAAGCACAAGAGGGTGTATATTAATGAATTAAATAAATCATGTAATTGGTTCAACGGGAATTTTCAACACGTATACCTTACAATCACACTAAATAAGTCAACCATGCACAACTGCTTAAAATAGATATAACACATATATGAAATAGATTTCGAAGGCATGGTATTCAAAGTTAATCGAGTGAGTACTTGATTTATTCTGTTATTAACCTAATAATTATTTTACATCATAGTGTAACATATATTTTGTATAAAAATATCTGGAAGGAGCTGGAAAGGATTTCCCAGGACAAAGTTGGATGAAGAATGCTGGTGAGCGGCCTATGCTCCTTCACGAGGAGTAACAGGCGTAAGTAAGTTAGTTAGTAAGTAAAAATATCTCTGGCAATAAATCTAACAGTCAATAATAAGTATTATATATACATAGATTGAAATTAAACAAATTCGAATCAATTCACCTGAACTTGAAAAGATCCAGTTAGTGAACAAATTTTATCAAGAGCTTGATGTACAAATGATTTTGCTTCTTCAGATTTACTGAAAGTTTTCAAATATGATACAGCCATTTCACATGTTGAACACACTGAAATAAATATCAATATATATATATTGTGATAATGGGTTACAAACATGATCATAATTTATTTGATGAACTAATTGCAGAGTTTAGATTGAGATATCGTTGTAAATTCGATTTCTGGAGGGGACTTGTTAAATGATCAATGCATACGAATTTTGCGAACTTTGCATGCAAAACCGATAAGTTCAACCTTTCATCCTTCTTTGATCTTAATTCCCTATTGTAGTTTGTTTCGTTTTTTTTCACTTTTCCGTTTTTTTATTTTTGTTACTACTATTGGTTTTTTTAAAGCAGTGTTTTGTAATTTTAAACAATAATCAGTTATTATTATAATCAGAGGGGAATTTTGTGGATATTATAGTGATTTTAATAGTTGAATTCATAAGTCAATTGAAGCGCACTACTGAGGAGTCCTTTGATAGAACGAAATGGCCGTCCAGTGCTTCCAGGTTTTCCATGGTTGTCTAGCTTCAATCGACTCATGAATTCAGCTATTAAAGTTATTATTACCTTTGAACAAGTCTTCTTGATTATTATTCAGTTTTTATTATAATAAACTTTATATTTGCTGTTTTTCTTCATATCTGCCCAAAGCCGCTAATCAGGAGCAGCGAATTATCGATCGGACCAAGGGCACGTAAAACACATGTGAGCAGTCTCGAGTCCTGATTGGTCCTGCTTTCCGCCTAGCCCAGCCAGTTAAGTCCAGAACAGCGATCTCAGCCTCTGCAATATGAATCATTATATTTCAAACATACTGTGTTTATATACCAACCAAACAGACCACACTGTACCATGAAATAGAAAATAACATCTGTACAAAATTTGATTAAATGTGGCTGTGAATGTGGGAGGCAGTGACTAATAAACAGGGCAAAATACAAGAATGGTAAATCGTATAATAATAGTTCATAGGTCAAAATAAAGCTTATAATAAGAGGAATATGAATATTAATAGCTTAGTTACTTAACAATTATACGATAAAAATATACGTTTAGTATTGGTCCATAAATGGATCCCAAAGTTACCATTCATTATGTTTATCGGGACCTAACACCCATAAATTATTTTCATCTTCATATTGTTTCCTTACTCCTTGATCATTACGTAACCTTATCTGATAATAAGAGTTTTGAATCAATTTATGATGCATTCTTTTCAATCCTCCTATAGACAAATCTTTCCCATATATCAATAAATACGAATGTACAGCTTAAGAAAGTGATTTTGCCGAAAAAGAGAAAAATTTTATTAGCTGAATTCTCTTTGTTTTTATACGAAGTTCAAAATAACATTAGGTTACCAGTTATCCATATTTTTGTTTTTCTATCTAATCTTGTTATACAACGTTAGTGAAATTCATTTTTTATGAATTTAATATGAGGATAAATAAAACATTCTAATTATGTTATTAATTGAGATCATGAATCGATTGATATTGGACCACCATCAAAAACCTGGAAGCACTGAACGGCTGTTTCGTCCGATTGCGGGACTCCTCAGCAGTGTGCATCCACGATCCTGCCCACGGGATTCAAACCCGTAGCCTTCAGTCTCGCGTGCGAACGCTTAACCTACTGGACCGCTAAACCGTCATCCAACGGTGTTAATGTCAACCAATCCACGAAATCTTCCATTGTACTGAGGTAGATATCTGTGTCTACCCGACAAAGATCAACTCCACTGGTGACGTATAACACCAATCGGTACATGATCTCAATTAAAAACTTAATAATCTCCACAACCTCTATACTGATAAGTATGTTATATCGCTATCAACTTACAAAAGCTGGAATTACCATGTTGAGGTGTTTCCAATGTGGACTGACACCAATTCACCATCTAAAAAAGGTAAAAATTAATTACATTAACATTTTTCATTAAAGCACACAAAATAAGCAATAAGTTGTTCTAATAAATAATAAATCAATTTCAAAATATTTTACACAACTTACTGTTTTGAAACGATTGGATTCGACGAATTCAATGAAATCTTTTAGGAGTGTTCTTGTTTCACTAACCATTGAATGTTTGCACTTGAATAAAAACAAACATCATTATAAAACGTAAATAAAATATTCAATATTTTGTTAAATGCTTTTTAATATAATATATTATGTATAAATTAGTTATCACTACCAGTGATTCTCGAACTCCGCCTATCGCCCAAAACTGTCAATCAATATCAAAGTCACAATCTTTAATATGGACGTCAAGACAGTTCTACTGGATGGAGTTGAAAATTTGACATCTACCACAATCATCATCAAAAATGTACATGTATTTATAAACAATTATCTACGAAAGATATTTAATGTCTATTGACCAAACACCATGAACGACAGCCTACTGTGGGAGAGAATAGACCATCTTCTATCCGAAGAGGAAATTAGGAAAAGGTAGTGAAAGTGGATAGGACATACATTTCGTAAATCATCAAACGGCATCATGAGGCAAGCGCTAATATGGAATCCTGAAAGGAAACGGATAAGTGTAAAGCTAAAGTACACACTGCGTCTAGAATAGGAAGCAGACATGAAAATGATGTATAACAACTGGAAAGAACTGGAAACGTTTGTCCAGGACAGAGATAGATGGAGAATGCTGGTGATTGACCTTCGCTCCTCCACAAGGAATAATGGGAATAATTAAGTAGTCAGTCGTTCTGCACAACATGAACGTTTAAAAGAGAATTTTACTACAACGGGTTTTTCGTCACATCTGTAGATAAATATGTAACTGATATTGTAAGAAACTTCATTCAATAATTCATTGCATAATGAAACATTAGATTGTAAACTTATTAACCCTATTGTTTAATGTACGAATCAAACAAGGTTTATCTTTATTTAAATACAAATGAAAACAAAATTGACGCTAAATTAACTGTTCAGTTTGAATAGTTTGAATAACTGTTAGAGCACAATAATATGAATTCATTTTATTTTGTCATTTCTGTTTAGCTGCTTATAAGCGTATTGTATAATAATAGATAGTTGACATTATTACTTCACTACTATTCATGTTATCCGTTGTCATCTTCAATCGTAGGTATGTACGTGTGGTTTATTCATGTATTTTTTTAACACCTTTAATACTGGTAACCATTGTCATTCTAGTATTCTGTTATGTAATATGATGTTATACAAACACATTTGTACGTAAGAAAAAAACAACGAAGAAACCATGAAACCAAATCAAATCGTTTCATTCTAATTCAATTGTTGTTCTGATTATAGTGAAATTCATAAAACGAATTAACGGTACGTACATCAATAATTGATAATGCTGTTTGTAGTTATTTATCCATTAGAAACATAAATTTGACCAGTGACCAAAGTAAATATTGTTTTAGTAAGTATTACCTATTGTGTTGTTTGTTTACGAAATAGTTTGAGTTTTTGATTGAGATCATGAATCGATTGATGTTAGACCACCATTGAAAACCTGGAAGCACTGGACTTCCGTTTCGTCCCATTGCGGGACTCCTCAGCAGCGCGCATCCGTGTCGTTTGAGGACAGGTACCTACACCAGTACAACGGAAGATGGTCGCTTAGTTTCGTGGATTGGTTGAGGTTAGACATTATCACCATTGGGTGCCGACCCAGTGATCCAGTAGGTTGAGCGTTCACAAGCGACACTGAAGGCCGTGGGTTCGAATCCCGCTAGCGGTTTGCACGCTGCTGAGGAGTCCCGCAATCGGACGAAACAGCCGTTCAGTGCTTCCAGGTTTTTGATGGTGGTCCAATATCAATCGATTCATGATCTCAATCAAAAACTTAATAATCTCGAGAACCCGTATATTGATAGTTTGAGTTTTAATAAAATCAATTACGAACTTGAATATTATTTGATTCGTTTGATCTAGATTAATATAACTGCTGCTGGATTTAATAAATAAAAAGTAGATATTTAAAATTGGATCCAATTTTAAGGAAGAATGAATCCAAATTCTTGGGAATTAATGAATACATATTCTATGATTGAGTTACATCACTTACAAATAACTTGAATTTTAATAAATATGAAAATAATTTAGCGTAATTCATATCATAAACAATCTTGTATTAAACAAAGATGGATAGTGGCTATTAGTGGAATCCAGGAAGCGCGTTTCTTCCTATTCGGGACTCGTCAGCCGGACGTACTTGCATCCCATAGGTGATGTTTACTCTGAAACTCAAACCTGGTACCATCGGCTTCAAACGCCATCGCGTTATTCACTTAGCTACTGTGTCCTGATAGCCACCTGCTTGCGAAATAAGGGGTGAAGTTTACATTCACTTGGTGTTGTTTTACTTGTATTTTCCACTGTTAGTCATTATCTATCTTTGCTTAGAAAGCTTGTGACTTAAGGCTATATCGATGCAATCTGCACAGGATGCACATATGCCAACATGAAACTGATTAATTGCAGTCCTGTGTAACAATGGGAAGATATAAGTAAAACAACACCAAGTGAATTTATTCTTGTATCAAGTTAAAAGTCAAAATTTACTTGTTTGTCTACGAGTTTGAGCAAGCAAAATTAGATATATAATTTAAAACTGGTATATATTACTTGGTAAAACAGAGTAGGTACTGAATAGTCGGTATTAGAAAAAGTGAAAGCTAAAAGTATCATATTTTGGACACTATAGTAGCGAATTTATTTCAGTAAGTGAACAGAAAGAAGTAAGCAACTAGAGGTAAATAAGACGTAAATATGGGATTACACTTTTTACATCCTCAAAACGAATATGTCAGAGTTTTAAAAAAATAAACTTTTGGACACATTGTGCAAAGTGACATTTGACTTATTTCATGAACTAATATAATATAAATCACAACCAAAATCTTAGAAGCTCTGCCCAGCGGTTTCATCTCAGTATGGGATTCCTCACAAGAGTTCAACCACAACTCCGAGTGTGGGGGTCGAACCCAGGACCTTCGATATCAGGCTCGAACACTTAACCTCTAGACCGTTGAGTTGACACCCAATGATGTCAGTATTGATGGGTTCCATTCCTGAGTATGAGGTCGTGCTAGAAATTAGAGGCTAACTGTACGCGCGCAATATCAGAGGTTCTGTGTTCGATTCCTGCATGCGAGGTTGTGGATCGCCTCTTCTTTGTAGACCCATGCTAGAACGAAACGGCCATCTAGTACGTCCAGGTTTTTGGTTGTGGTTTGTCTTAGATCCGTTATATCGAGATGGGTATAAATGAATAGTATATGATAGAAATTACGTATGGACTAATATTATACGAATGTTCTTACTGTATGACTATTAAGTAACTATATTATATGTATATGCATGCCCATTTCATTATAACGTTTTATTTGACCTAATGGTCACTGTTATATGGTTTACTATTCTCAAGTTATTCCTAATCCCGTAGTCACAGTTTCTCACAATCATAGCCACTTTTGTCTTGAACTTGTCCAAATATTATTTTCTATTTTATGGCGTGATGTGGTCTATTTTGTATGTATATAAACCTAGTTTGTCTGAAATATATGCTTCGTGTCATGGAGGTCAAGTTCGGCATTCCGAACTTAACAGGCAGGTTAAGACGGAAAAAGGATCAACCAGAATTCCAGGCTGCTGGTACTAGTGTATGCGTCATTAATTTATTCTTATAAGTAAGCGTACCAGAATTTGGCAATCGTATTTCGCGATATTCGTGACATATCAAGATCAGTTCGTGACTTCAGGGAAATCCAACACTCTTCACAACCTTTTACCGATAACATCTATTCTGTTGTATCTACTGATAGTTCTCGGTTAACTAAACTAAAGTAAATGAAATAACATTCAAACATGGGGTTTGTCGGTTGATAAACAAATTTTTTGATCAATATTCAGCTACACTGAAGCAGTGTACTTAATATGTTGACTGTAGTTCGTGTACGATTTTATGAGTATATTATAATGTTTTATAAATATTTTGATACATCTACTTAACAAAGGTAGACAGTGGCTAGCAGTGGAATCCACGACGTGCGTTTCGCCCTATTTTTGACTCGTCAGCTGGATGTACCTGCATCTCAGAGTTGATGTTCACTCCGAGACTCAAACCCAGGAACATTCGCTTCAAACACCATCGCGTTATCCACTCAGCTACTGAGTCCTGATAACCACTTGCTTGTAAAATGTGGTGAAGTTAAAATCACTTGATATTGTTTTGCTTGTATCTTTCTATTGAGTTATAAGACTGAAATTGATCAGTCTGTTATTAGCACATGTGCAATATCGAGGCAATACACACTGTAAACCTTATTGTTCTCATTAATTTTAGCAGCTGATTACAAGTATACCAGTGTTTCTTCAATCAATAATGGAAAAAAATAAAATCAAATCATTGACATACCTGAAGTTTTTTATTCATATCATTTATATTTTCACATGTTATTGACAATATATATTCAATGATATTCCTGGTGAATTGTTCTTCTTTTATAATTTGTAAACTTTTCTCTTGTGCCAATTCCAATAGGTTGCATGCTATAAAGTTGTAGATATATATAAAACAGTTTTTTGTTTGTATAAAAGTTAAGTAAGCAGTTCACTAATATAACTAGGGATTAAATACTTTAATGTTTCTAACTGAAATAATGGAAAATGTAGCTTTGTATTTGACTTCCATAGATTCAGTCATTATAAAGTATTTCATGTTCACTATTAGTGACAATTGTATATTATCAATGATAGTTTGTCAGTACCTTTAAAAAGTTCATTGATAATGTGCAAATTCTGAAATATTACTTATTCTTAGTTTATTATAAACTGAGGTGAATTTTTTTCTCGTCAGCTTTGATGTTCAAGAATAAATTGAGCAGCTTTCTGGTTAAAAAAAACAAAACAAATATTCCAATCCCATATTAACCATGCTATAGTTAGCGATTATGGTGACTGATAAACTATATTGATGTTGAATAGGTCGGTGATTTTGATAACCTAGAACCCACGTACACTAAACCAACTAAAATGATATATATTGAGTGTGAATCACAGTTTGAATAACTCAGATTTAAATATATTCCACCTACAAAGTAACCACTGCCTTGGATTTAATATCACATCCCTAATTACAATATCTTAAAAACTTCAGTGACATTTGTAGGCTGCATACACATTAAATGAAAAATATGTTTTAACAGATGTTAGGAGTTTACTTAACTCTATTCGATTAGAATAGTTTGTCAAAGATTAACATTAAACTTAATATTATCTAAGACAGTAAGTGCTCTTATTTAGTATTTTCACTTCAAACTTATTTCCATACTTCTGCTACGACTGTTTACAATGAAATAATCGGGATGTTTTTTTTAATGATAAACTATGAATTATGAATGACCTATAGAACTCCAAAATGCACATTTATCCAAATAGAAAAACATTAAAACGTAGTGCATTAAATCAAAATTTGAATAATTTTATGAAAGTTTGTTAGTATGCTTGTTAATGTATATGCAAAATACTTCGGATTTGTTGGCCAGATACTGTCAGCAACAATATACTATGGGAGAGAACAAATCAGATCCCAGTGGACGAAGAAATCAGGAAAAAGCACTAGAAGTGGATAGGACACACATTGAGGAAAGCACCTAACTAAATCACAAGGCAAGCCCTCACAAGGAATCTTCAATGCCAAAGGAGAAGGGAAAGATCAAAGAACACATTAAACCGAGAAATGTAGACATAAAATGAGAAGAATTAACAACAATTGGATAGAAATAGAAAGGAAGGCCCAGGATAGAGTGGGTTGGAGAATGCTTGTCAGCAGCCTATGCTCCATTGAGAGTAACAGGCGTAAGTAGGTAAGTAATTCGTTAATATTTACTTTTCTATTATACCTGCAAATATAGACGTTTAGTAGCATAAAACATAGTGTGATGAAATGTACTATCTTCGTCATTTTAGAAACTGTTCTCAAAATATATTATTATGTCCAGCTTTCTAGTTACGTAATATAAGTTCATATAAGAATCTTTATAAAACATCTTCACTTCTATTGAAGAAAATCACTACGGTTGAATATGGTATACAAATTTACATTTAATTCACAGTTAATTAAAAAGTTCTGTATAAACAAAAACGATAACAATAGTAATTCAACATTTAATTAACCAACTTACCTACATCTTTATAGCCAAAATTCAACTAAATTGAATATATAAGTAAAAAAATATTAATATCAGAAGGGATTTTGTGGATGTTATAGTAATTTTAATGGTTGAAATCATGAGCTAATTAAAGCTAGACCGCCATGGAAAACCTGGAAGCACTGGGGTTCGAATCTCATCGGTGGGCTCACTGCTGAGGTGTTCCACAATAGGACGAAACGGTCGTCCAGTACTTCCAGGTTTTCCATGGTGATCTAGCTTCAAGTGACTCATGATCTCAACCATTGAAAAAAATATTAATTAACTATTCAGTCAAAAGGATCTTACAGAATCATTGAGTAATTTCCAAAAAAACAAAATGCATATCGTATTACATTCGAATTGTAAATTCGGTTTACAATATAGATTATGTAATTAAATAGTCTTGAAATACTGGAACCCGGTAAATTTCTGTTGAATGAAGTTATATGGTTTAATAATTTATATTATTTTGTAATACAATTACAGAAGATTGTAATATAAAGAATGTTTTATCATTTATTTAATGAACTCATTGCATTAATAGGATTATTTATTGTACCTACCTACAATCAATGAATAGTATAACAAATTCATTGTTTTAATATTTTTGTTGTTAAGAAAGATTAATTCAGAGAAGAGTTCTCTTTTCGATGAATTCATTTTCAAGGCTATACAATCGCAAATATATATATATATATATATATATATATATATATATATATATATATTAACAGAATGTGGGTAGAACTAGAAAAGAAGATACAGGACGGTGGGGGTTGGAGAATGCTGGTCGGCGGCCTATGCTCCATTAGGAGTAACAGGCGTAAGTAAGTAATTAACAGAATGATTATAATACTGATAATAAACTGTTGTTGGACAAGTTGACAGTGAGGTTAAACAAACAAAGTAATCAAAAACATTCTTTTAAAAACAAGGAAAGTTTAATAATCGTTTTTGATTATTAATAGCTTAAGTATTGTTGATTAATTGGATTAAAATAATAATGAAGTCTATCAGTAACATTATTGATTTTAATATGATTATGTAAGTTATTATCAACATTATTAGTTTCAGAAATTTAACATTGAATAACATTACCTCAGATTGCTCGATTGAAGTAACTAGACCTAGAATAGATTATTATTATAAGTAGTATATACTTGGTTTACCTGTTGTAAAAAAGCTTAATATGAAAAAACTTAACATTCTTGTTTGTATTTGATCTCGAATAAATTTAAAATAAGATTATTATGAGTGAATCACTTTAAATATTTTTCTTATTTATTTTTTTGATTATATTTTATTAACGATCAAGTAGTTTAGATCAAATTTTAAATTATTAAACTGGAACAAGGGTCATTTGAAGGGTACTTTACCTTCAATAATAATGGACTTTATATATATATATATATATAATGATAATAATACTAAATTGGGCCTATGATTCTAAACAATCGTTTATTGTATACTAAATCAAACGAGTATGATCATTTTAAAAGTGTAAAACGGTTGTTTTTTCTAAGTGTTACTAACCTTTGAGACTGCAGATTCGATAGAAAAGAAAACAACAACAAAACATCATGTGAAGTGATGGTAATTAGTAATGAGTTTGTTTTTGTAAAAAAAGATTACTGAATAATGAAAAAATGTCTTTGAGTATATTATTGAACAATGTGAAATATGTTAGCGATTAAATTGTAAAGATAAAAGAGAATTGTTTAAAGATCCTCAACATATTAAAAGACTAATAATTTGAACGATCGTCAACATCATCGAGAATTTATACGATGGATTAAAGTATAAAGTAGTGCATAGCGACTAGCCTACAGATTTATTCCTAGTAAAGAGCGAAGTCAGAAAATTTTGCCTACTCTTTACCTTCCTCTTAATCTTTCTTCTGACGATCGACTGGATTATAAAAATCACTACATCTGAGGGGAAACACGGGATACAATGGATAGCTCGGAATGAATCAGAAGAATTGGGTTTGTCAGATGACCTGGTCTTTCTATCTCATACACACGAACAAATCCATATGAAGACAACTAGTGAAGCAGAAGCCTCTACATCAGTACGCCTCAACATACACAAAGAAAAAATCAAGATCATCAAATACAACATGTAGAAAACCAACCCAATCACATTTGATGGAGAAACTCTGGAAGAGGTGGAATCTTTCACGTACCTGAGCGGCAGCATCGATGAACAAGAAGGGTCTGATGCAATCGTACAGCTGAGGATTGCCAAAGAAAGGACAGAACTCCTACAATCGAAAGACATATGGAGCTCAAAACAACTGTTAACCAATATCAAAGTCAGAATCTTCAATACGAACGTCAACACAAATCTACTGTATAAAGCTGAAATGTGGCGAGCTACCACAATAATCATCAAGAAGGTACAAGTATTTATAATCAAGATACTGAATGTCGCTTGATCACATACCATAAGCAACAGTCTACTGTGAGAGACACCAAATCAGCTTCCGTCTGAAGAGGAAGTTAATAGAAGAAGTCGGAAGTGGATAAGATCAAAGAGGAAGAATGTATTTGTAAAATGTCAGTGAATGAATTTGAAGTAAATCTATTTTTTTCGCCTGTCAATCTGGTCCAAGCTGAGATTTTGCAAAATAGATTCTTCCACATTAATGTCTCACATTAACTCGGAGCCCAAATGCAGTGAAACTATTCAATCAAATTTAGACGAAATTTCTTATATATTAATATACTGTTTTACGTTTTATCAAAAAATCTGAGAAGAATAGAACTCGTTTTATTTAACTGAAAGCGAATGAATGACGTTATCTGTTCATTCTTTTTTAAATATTGATCTGACTATGTCAACTTCTGTTCGTAAACAGAGATGAACTTAATCAAACTTATTAATAAATCAAGTTCCGCTATTACTTAGTTAAAAATATCTATCGTGATCATTGTAAAAAGGGAAATAATAAAGAGCTGAGTAGTATTTATATTATAAGTCAAGAGAATTCATATTTCTAACTTTATTATATACAAAGATCTTCAGTAAGAGTTGATTGTACTTATTATGTTAACCATTAGAATAATGTCTTAGTATCTGAGGATGCAATTACATTTCCTAGTCGTTAGAGGAACTAACACTGTGGTGTGTGATATTGATGTCGAGAGATATAAGTAGTATGTATCATCAATCGAATTTAAAATGTCTGGTGGCAGGAAGTTAAGAAGATCGAAGAAAAGAAAACGAGAACAAAGAATGATTGACGTGGAAACGAAAGAACAATGAAGACTGAGACGATTGTTTGAGCTTTCGCAGAAGGAACAATCAAATTTGAGACAATTGACTGACATTTTGCAAATTAAGTATTTAATGTATGGTTCTCAGATTTTACCAAGAAGTACATTCGATTGTCCGCAGTTGTGCTTTCGTTCACAAGAACACTAATCTAGTCTCCTTTCAACGTTACTTAAGAAATAATAAGAAGTGCTACTGATTGTAACTCCGCCTGTAGCTCTTTTAGAGTTACTGCCGGTCACAAGCCCGGATAAAGGAGGAGGGTTGGGCATGGGGTTAGCATCTTCATCCCGTAGAAAACTAACTCGCTAAAAAAACGCTAACCAGAAAAAATAATTCAAACCATTTTAACTCTGCCCTGGGAGTTAGAAGGTCTTCATTTAAAAGAATTATGACGCTTCATGGTGAAAACCGAGTTCCTTCGAAATCCACGGGGCCGATGCTCCTTCTAACAACCAGAGCAACAATTTTTATATGTACATGGAACGTTCGAACAATGTGAGAGACCGGGAAGACCAGTCAAATAGCAACGGAAATGAGGAGATACAACTTGGCAGTACTGGGAATCAGCGAAAACCACTGGACCCAAGCTGGACAGAAAAGGCTAGCTACGGGAGAGAAGCTGCTATATTCGGCCACGAAGAGGACAATGCTCCACACACTCAGGGAGTCGCTCTTATGCTGTCCAAAGTAGCACGAAATGCACTTGTAGGATGGGAGTCTCATGGATCCAGAATCATCAAAGCATCATTCAAAACAAAGAACGAGGGGATCTTAATGAATATTATCCAATGTTATGCACCAACCAATGATAGCAACGACGACATTAAAGATCGATTCTACGAGCGGCTACAGTCAATCATAGAGAAATGTCCAAGAAAGGACCTAACCATTCTGATGGGAGATCTAAATGCCAAAGTCGGAACAGACAACATTGGATATGAAGATATTATGGGACGACATGGACTGGGAGAAAGAAACGAAAATGGAGAAAGATTTTCAAATCTATGTGCATTCAACAAATTGGTCATAGGAGGCACAATATTTCCACACAAGCGTATACACAAGGCTACATGGATCTCACCGGACCACACTACAGAGAGCCAAATAGATCATATTTGCATCAACAAAAAATTCCGAAGGACAATGGAAGATGTGAGAACCAGGAGAGGTGTTGACATAGCTTCATATCACCACCTATTTGTGGCCAATTAAAAAACTGAAGCTAAAGAAGAACTGGACAACTGGACAAACAGCACTACAAAGGTTCAATACAGCCTTTCTTCGCGATACTAACAAAATCAACGAATTCAAGATAGTTCTCAACAACAGGTTCCAAGCCTTACAGGGTCTACTGAAGAAAGAAGAAACTACTATGGTGGACAACTGGAAAAGTATCAAAGAAGCATTAACTTCAACTTGTCAAGAGGTTCTTGGTCTAAAGAAATACCATCATAAGGAATGGGTCTCTACAAAAACACTGGACAAGATCAAAGAAATGAAGAACAAGATGACAGCAATTAACAACTGCCGAACACGAGCAGAGAAAGTCCAAGCACGAACTGAGTACATAGAAGCAAACAAGTAAGTGAAGAAAAGCATTAGAGTCGACAAGCAGAAGTACGTGGAAGAACTAGCAACGGCGGCGGAAAAAGCTGCAAGAGAAGAAAATATGAAACACCTTTACGATGCAACGAAGAAACTAGCAGGTAAATATAGTAAACTAAAGAGACGGGTCAAGGACAAAAAAAGCAGGCCAGTCACTGAAATTCACTAACAGCGGAACAGCTGGGTAGAATACTTCGAGGAACTCCTGAATAGGCTGACTCCAATGAATCCACCGGACATCGAAGCAGCACACACAGATCTTCCTATAGATGTCAATCCACCCACGATGGAGGAAATCAGAATGGCCATCAGACAAATCAAGAGCGGGAAAGCAGCAGAACCAGACAATATACCAGCTGAAGCACTGAAGTCAGACATGGAAGTAACTACAAACATGCTTCACCTTTTATTCAAAAAGATTTAGGAGGAAGAGGAACTATTGGCGATGAACTGGAAAGAAGAACACTTCATCAAGATTCCAAAGAAAGAAGATCTGAGCAAATGTGAAAACTACAGATGCATTACACTACTGTCAGTACCAGGGAAAGTCTTTAACAGAGTGTTGCTTAGCTGAATGAGAGACTCAGTAGACGCCTAACTTCGAGATCGACAGGCTGGATTCCGTAAGGATCGGTCGTCCACAGACCAAATTGCGTCACTACGGATCATCGTTGAACAATCAAGCGAATGAAACTCGTCATTGTACATCAACGTCATTGATTATGAAAAGGCATTTGACAGTGTAGATAGGAGAACGTTATGGAAACTTCTTCGACACTACGGAGTTCCTGAGAAGATCGTCAACATTGTCCACAACTCATACGATGGACTACAGTGCAAGGTCATGCATGGAGGACAGCTGACAGATGCATTCCAAGTAAGGACCGGAGTCAGACAAGGCTGTCTACTCTCTCCCTTCCTTTTTCTTCTGGTGGTCGACTGGATTATGAGGACCTCAATATCTGAAGGAAAACACGGAATACAATGGACAGCTCAGAATCAATTAGACGATTTGGACTTCGCAGATGACCTAGCCCTCCTATCGCATACACACGAACAGATGCAGGTGAAGACAGCCAGTGTAGCAGCAGTCTCTGCATCAGTAGGCCTCAGCATACACAAAGGGAAAACTAAGGTCCTCAAATTCAAAGCGGAGAACAGCAATCCAATCACACTTGATGGCGAAACTCTGGAAGATGTGGAGTCCTTCACATACCTGGGAAGCATCATCGATGAACAAGGAGGATCCGATGCAGACGTAAAGGCGAGGATCGGCAAAGCAAGGGTCGCATTCCTTCAATTGAAGAAAATATGGAACTCAAAACAACTGCCTACAAGCCAATATCAAAGTGAGAATCTTCAATACGAACGTCAAGGCAGTTCTACTGTATGGAGCTGAAACTTGGAGAACTACAACAAACATCATCAAGAAGGTACAAGTATTTATAAATAGCTGTCTATGCAAGATACTCAACATCCACTGACCGGATACCATCAGCAACAGCCCTCTGTGGCAGAGAACAAACAAGCTTTCAGCTGAAGAAGAAATGAGGAAAAGACGATGGAAATGGATAGGACATACATTACGCAAATCATCAAACTGCATCACAAGACAAGCCCTAACTTGGAATCCTGAAGGGAAGCGGAAAAGAGGAAGGCCAAAGAACACATTACGTCGGATAATAGAAGCAGATATGAATAGGATGAATAGGAATTGGAAGGAGATTGAAAGGATTGCTCAGGACAGGGTTGGATGGAGAATGCTGGTGAGCGGCCTATGCTCCTTCACGAGGAGTAACAGGCGTAATTAAGTGTTATAACGTGGAAATAGCAGATTAGAAGGCAGAGAATTATTGGTCAGACCAAAGACGCGCAAACACGTAGAACGAACTAGGGTTCTGATTGGCCCCGCTTCCCTGTCTAGCCCAGCCAGTTGAGTCGAGAACGCAAGTTACAGCCTCTGAGTTATGAATCATTATATTTCAAACATACTTTGTTTATATACCAGTCAAGCAGACCACAACGTACCATAAAATATAAAATAACATTGTACAATAATGGCCAGTAGGAAAATGACACGTTAAATAAATATTGACCAATAAGATGATACCATTTCATGTCCAAGGGTAGCATTAGGCTTAACAGAATAATTTTTGAGATATTTTTCTGAATATCCCAACAGTAAGTAAGCAAGTAAGCTACTGATTGTAAGTTACTTGGACATCAAACCATAATTGTAAATTACATGTTCTCAGTCCTCCTTTAATAGGTTTATCCTAGCTTATGTGAATATTGATGCTAAAAACAAATAATTTTAGTCCAATATGAAGTAAACTGGCAGCCACATGTTCCAAGCTTTCTAGTTTGCAATGAATACGTCTTTAAATTCTTTTATGTACGTGACGGAAAAACCTCTAGAAAAGTCACACACTTAGCATCATTTTGTTCTTTGCTAAATCTGGTATGAACAGTTGACAACAACACTGTTTCTACGTCTGCATTGCTTAAATTTCAAAATCCCTTTTTCATGGTATAACCAGTACACATACAGGATTAAGCTTCAATTCCTAAAAGGGAAATTGGTGCGAAGTAATACTGTTTATGTAAATGCTGATTGATACACTCACTGGATAAGATTAACAGCATGAGCAAACTTAATTCTTTTACAGAGGAAAGCTGTGTTAGACTAACTGAGAGAACTGTTTAGACTTCTTAACAATGTCACGCTTCTAAACCCAGTGCCTAATGAGAAAATTAACAAAAAGGGAAACATTAGTTGACACTAAACGATGGAATAGTCTAGTGATTATTAACTAACACATTATTTAGGTGCGAGCTTTTGAAAGACTACATATGAAATTACCAACAGACCAGTCAAACATAGATTTAATCTTCACTATCACTTTAAAACGTTTAATTGAAGGTGTGACCATAAAACTTATGAGAAGCTAATGAGAGGAAACTCTTTGTTTATATATGTGTCTTCGATGTAATGGACATTTGTAAACAAGCACGTCGATGTCCGGCTTCAAGTAACTCAAAGCCTACAAGTAAACTGGTGTTTTACAAATATTTAAAGATGAAGGATTTATACATGGAGCAGTCCACCAGCTGTACATAATTTCATTTAAATGGTTTAAATGTATTATTCCAGTTTGCTCAAAACTGAAACTCACTTATTTGTAGCTAAACAATTATTGCTCTTCAGTAATCCCACATATGTTTTCTCCACACGAGCATAAACGAATGGATAAATGAACCATCTAATTTAAAAATTTTCCACGAGAGATAAATTATCAAACAAGCTCATGACTTCGTACACTGAATGGTAAATCAGATGTATCATAGTAAATATTACTATTGTAAACCTTGGATTCCATATTACTGGACATAATTATCTTTGGAAAATTGTTTTTACGGTGTAAATACTAGATAATACTTAGTTGTAGCTAGAGAGACTAGGAAAACTTGATTATTTGAAATGTAAGAGTGCGAACTAAATTTGACGGTAATGACATCATACATATTCATCTATGTCGGACGGCTATATGTTTCACTGAATAGTGCAGTAGGTTAGAATAAAACGATATTGGTTGGTGAAAGTTTAGGCACATTTTATGAGTTTTCTAACATCTATCTCAGGTTATTTAGCGAAGGGCTTAGTTCTAGGCATAGATACTTTACATAACATACATTAATTATAACTTTTCCTAGTTTTAGGCAAATCTATTAAATACTTCCTTATTTAGGGTATTTCTTCCCTTCTAATTAATAATTTAGAAATATTACCATTGCTTTTTGCTTTTTTTATATTATTTTCAGTAATTTACTCCATACATTATCGGTCCTCTTTATCGTGATATTCAAAATTATGACAGGATAGACCAATCTTCCAGTGCTTTATAGTTAAAATACAAATGTAACAATGTCTTACTTTATAACACTTCAGTAGTAATGATTGAATGATTAAAAATTTGAATGTTAATTAGTTAAATGATCAGCTTCTGTTAGCTTTCATTGTAATTTCTATAAACGTAACAGAGTAACTGCCTATTGAATCTGAATACTTTTTTGTAATAAACGATAGAACACAGATTTCTTCGAAAATTTTATTTATTTATATTATCACAATGTTAACTGAGTATATAAGACAAATTTTCTAATTAAGTAACGACTGATTCTGTGATCCGAAATCATAAAAGCCTAGTCTACATTTCATGATGAATATCAACATTAGAGTAAACGCTAAGCAGTATTCAGGCAACATGACAGGATAAAGTGTAAAAGGATTATTATGGAAACGGTTAAACTTTCATAATTTCCATTACAAACAGACTTCGGTAACCATGTCTAGCATGAGACAATAACTCACCATAGACAACTGAAGGCGATAATACGATATCAGAAATTAAATAACGTTCGGCATATACATCATCATTTCTAGATTCAATGATATAATGGTTAGCCGCTTTCTGCGAGACCTAAATTTTGTGGGTTTGATCAATGGTGGATGTTCACTGATGAGAACGAAAGAGAATTTTAAGGGTTCCTACTCTCCATAGGTTGACTGACTAATATCAGTTCTTGATATATACCATAAAACGAACAAACTGAACTTTTTTCCCACACTAATCACTCTCTTTTTTCATTCTCTTCTCTTCGATCATCTTAACATTCTACCGCCGGGTATTTTACTTTCGATTAGTGATACATACTACTTATATCTGTAGGTAGTACACACCACAGTAGATGGTGAGTAATAATAATAATAAATGAAGTTTAAAAATCATGTAATCAAAAACGCTCCATGATCATTAGAAATAAATTGAAAACAGGCACTTATTGAATATGGTAATAAATATTTATCCACTAATGTTTTTTTAAAAGACTTTATAAAATCAAATGTTTTCAATTTGTGTAAAACGGTCTCAATTCATCCGCCACGCATATCAGCTACAGAAACTGACTTGCTGGAAAATAAAAAAAATATTCGAATGAAAAGTTAAATAAGAATTGAATATTTAGTTTTGTTTTTGTGAATACCACTTTCTAAAAACTAAAGTATAATTTTAGGTAACGTTTAAGAGATGTCAACTTAGTAAGTATACTCTAGTTTGCACCACAAGCTTGCTCCTGGTACGAAACAACTGAAAACCAAGGTACACTATCAAAGTGTTTTTCTCAAGGTTGGAACAGCCTAGAAATGCACACCGACGAAGTACTCTGACACTCAGTAGTCGATAAATTTCTCAATTGTCAAGATGACTGGATAGTACATGTTCTTCTCCACATGTATCATCAGTGTTCACCATTAAATAATCTCTAACTAGAGCAGAATGGGTAATCAATGATTCCAATTCTTACTTGTTCTCTAGGTTATCTTAGTATGTTTTGAAAAATATATCAAAACCAAATGAATTTCTTAACATAACACTCAAATAACGTGGACTTTCATTTAGGTTATGTTAAGCCTGGAGTCCCTCCGGGGGCTACTGCCGGTCCCAAGCCCGGATAAAGGAGGAGGGTTGGGCATGGGGTTAGCGTCCCCATCCCGTAGAAAACTAACTCGCTAAAAAAACGCTAACCAGAAAAAATTATTCAAACCTTTTAAACTCTGCCCTGGGAGTCAGAAGGTCTTCACTTAGAAGAATTATGACGCCTCATGATGAAAGCCGAATTCCTTCGGAAGTTACGAGGCCGATGCCCCTTCTGACAACCAGAGCAACCATTTATTTAGGTACATGGAATGTTCGTACAATGTGGGACACCGGAAGAGCCTTCCAGATTGCTGCAGAAATGAGAAGATACAACCTAGAGGTACTTGGGATCAGTGAAACACATTGGACACAAGTTGGACAACAACGACTAACTACAGGAGAGCTCCTGTTATACTCCGGCCATGAAGAAGAAAATGCACCACATACACAAGGAGTTGCATTGATGCTGTCCAAACAAGCGCAAAATGCGCTTATAGGATGGGAATCTCATGGACCAAGGATCATCAAAGCCTCCTTCAAAACAAAGAAAGAGGGCATTTCAATGAACATCATCCAATGCTATGCGCCTACCAACGACTATAATGAAGACGCTAAAGATCAATTCTACAATAGGCTGCAGTCAATCGTCGAGAAGTGCCCAACAAAGGACCTGACCATTCTGATGGGAGATTTCAACGCCAAGGTTGGAACGGACAACACTGGATATGAAGACATCATGGGACGACACGGACTAGGAGAAAGAAACGAAAATGGTGAGAGATTTGCAAATCTATGTGCCTTCAATAAGCTGGTCATAGGCGGCACCGTATTCCCACATAAACGCATACACAAAACCACATGGACTTCACCGGATCACTCTACACAAAACCAAATCGACCATATTTGCATCAACAAAACGTTCAGGAGGACTATAGAGGACGTGAGAACCAAGAGAGGAGCTGATATAGCATCAGATCATCACTTACTGGTCGCCAAGATGAAATTGAAACTCAAGAAGCACTGGACAACGGGGCAGACAGTATCACAAAAGTTCAATACGGCCTTTCTCCAGGATACTAACAAACTCAACAAATTCAAGATAGTCCTCAGCAACAAGTTCCAGGCCTTTCATGATCTACTCAATGGAGAAGGAACTACTGTGGAGAGCAACTGGAAGGGGATCAAAGAGGCAATCACTTCAACATGTCATGAGGTCCTGGGTCACAAGAAGCACAATCACAAGGAATGGATCACTGTTGGTACACTGGATAAGATTCAAGAAAGGAGGAACAAGAAGGCAGCGATCAATACCTGTCGAACAAGAGCAGAAAAAGCCAAGGCACAAGCTGAATACACGGAAATAAACAAACAAGTGAAGAGGAGCATCAGAACCGACAAACGTAAATATGTGGAAGATTTAGCAACGACGGCGGAAAAGGCTGCAAGAGAAGGAAACATGAGACAATTGTATGACACGACAAAGAAACTCTCTGGAAATCGCCACAAACCAGAACGACCAGTGAAAAGCAACGCAGGCAAGGTAATCACCAACATTGAAGAGCAACAAAACAGGTGGGTAGAACACTTCAAAGAACTGTTGAATCGACCAGCTCCACTGAACCCACCCAACATCGAAGCAGCACCCACGGACCTCCCAATCAATGTTGGCCCACCAACAATTGAAGAAATCAGCATGGCCATCAGACAAATCAAGAGTGGCAAAGCAGCAGGACCGGACAACATCCCAGCTGAGGCACTAAAAGCAGACGTAGCGGCAACTGCAAGGATACTCCACATTCTCTTCAATAAGATTTGGGATGAGGAACAAGTACCAACAGACTGGAAAGAAGGACTTCTAATCAAAATACCGAAGAAAGGCGATCTCAGCAAGTGTGATGACTACAGGGGCATCACTCTTCTCTCAATACCGGGAAAAGTCTTCAACAGGGTATTGTTAAACAGGATGAAGGACTGCGTAGACGCCCAACTTCGAGACCAACAGGCAGGATTCCGTAAGGATAGATCGTGTACAGACCAAATCGCAACTCTACGGATAATTGTGGAACAATCAATTGAATGGAATTCATCACTCTACATCAACTTCATTGACTACGAAAAGGCATTTGATAGCGTGGACAGAACAACACTATGGAAACTTCTTCGACACTACGGCGTGCCTCAGAAAATAGTCAATATCATACAGAACTCATATGATGAATTACACTGCAAAATTGTGCATGGAGGACAGTTGACAAAGTCATTCGAAGTGAAGACCGGTGTTAGGCAAGGTTGCTTACTCTCACCCTTTCTCTTTCTCCTGGTGATCGACTGGATCATGAAGACGTCAACGTCTGAAGGGAAGCGCGGGATACAATGGACATCTAAGATGCAGTTGGATGATCTAGACTTCGCAGACGATCTGGCCCTTCTATCCCAAACGCAACAGCAGATGCAGGAGAAGACAAACAGTGTGGCAGCAGCCTCAGCAGCAGTAGGTCTCAACACACACAAAGGGAAAAGCAGGATTCTCCGATACAACACAGAATGCACCAATCCAATCACAATTGACGGAGAAGATTTGGAAGATGTAAAAACCTTTACATATTTGGGCAGCATCATTGATGAACAGGGTGGATCTGATGCAGATGTGAAGGCGCGGATCGGCAAAGCAAGAGCAGCATATTTACAACTGAGGAACATCTGGAACTCAAAGCAACTGTCAACCAACATCAAGGTCAGGATTTTCAATACAAATGTCAAGACAGTTCTACTGTATGGGGCAGAAACCTGGAGAACTACAAAAGCCATCATCCAGAAAATACAGGTGTTTATTAACAGTTGTTTACGCAAAATACTTCAGATCCATTGGCCGGACACTATTAGCAACAACGTACTGTGGGAGAGAACAAACCAGATCCCAGTGGAGGAAGAAATCAGGAAGAAGCGCTGGAAGTGGATAGGACACACATTGAGGAAAGCACCCAACTGCGTCACAAGACAAGCCCTCACATGGAATCCTCAAGGCCAAAGGAGAAGAGGAAGACCAAAGAACACATTACGCCGAGAATTGGAGATAGACATGAGAAAAATGAACAAGAATTGGATGGAACTAGAAAAGAAGGCCCAGGACAGAGTGGGTTGGAGAATGCTGGTCAGCGGCCTATGCTCCATTGGGAGTAACAGGCGTAAGTAAGTAAGTAAGTAAGTAAGCAGTATGTTATGTGTTACAAGTAGTATTGAAAATACTGATAGTGGGAATTATATGTGAAGTACCTAACATAAACCTATAACCTGACTCATTGGACCCTGCTAACACTAAAGCAGTCAGTGTCTCTAGTAGAGTTTCATTCTCTGAGTTTGAAATTAGAATAAAACTTTAAAGAACCTTTTACGATTTCATGCGTGATTACCGAGTCATTTTCATATATTAGATGAAAACAATGTGTTATTGTGGAGGTAAAAAATCTTCAACACTGAAAAAATTTACAGCTCAGATCCCTTCTTTTTTTACCATTGTGTTTTGAGTGCTCATCGAACAGTCCTATTATTCTATCAGATTCATTGGTGTTCACTAATGCGAATGTTAAGTCAATACATGTATTACATTTAGCAAAACATGTTTTTCTTTGGTTATTAACAACTGTTTTTTTTGTGATAGATAAAGATAGATGCATGGTGATTTGATGAAGCTTTTACATTTAACCTACTGACCTAATGTTAAGTGTTATATCTTTTATTTCATTCACTCATAATAATCTATTTAAAATGTTGACTTATTTCGGTTCCATAAAGCAACTGTTGTATTGATTTACCGCTGTGTATTTTTCAGGAAATTCAATGATGAAAGGTTGTTACATCACAACTAGTGTACAACTTTCCTAAATATGTAGTCTTGTAATTTGCTAATAACATTCAATCCAAAATCTTATTCAGTTATCTTTATTGATTAAATAATCAAATATGTATGTATATACTAACTGAAATTGTTCAATAATCATCATTATCATCATCATCATATTCAGAAAATACCATACCCACCATACAAGTATCCAATGCTTCAGTTCTATTGAATATGATAACGTAAGAATCAATTATTTGTGAAGCCACGTCATAACACTAAGAATGAAAACAATGAATGAAACAGTATCATATAGAATGATAAAAACTTTATATTAGTGTCTATTTATAGTTTAAAAATGAATATTTTATTTCATCTGGCCACAGTTGGTGTTTCTAAGCAAACAGATCTGTTATGTAAGGATTAATTGTAATCAAAGATAATGTTTTATTTTTGTTTTGGTGTAAAATATATACATTAACAAATGTTGCCATGAAAGTTTCAATGTACTGAGTTTACATCATATTAAACGAAAGTCTTTGATTATTGAATAAAATGTTTCTCGTTTTATACAGAAAAATCACATTACTCATAGATAATGCAGTAATTGAATGATCTTCAATGAAGCTTTTGAAATCATTTGAATGATTAGAATGAACCAGAAGATTACATCTAATTTACATGTAATGAAGAATAAAAGTAGGCAGTAAAGGAAACTGCAGTTTTGAAAAATGTTGATTAAGTGATTTTCACCAACTTACTTACTTACGCCTGTTACTCCTAATGGAGCATAGGTCGCCGACCAGCATTCTCCAACCCACTCTGTTCTGGGCATTCCTTTCTAATTCCATCCAATTCTTGTTCATTTTTCTCATGTCTGTTTCCATTTCCCGGGGTAATGTGTTCTTTGGTCTTCCTCTTTTCCTTTGGCCTTGAGGATTCCAACTGAGGGCTTGTCTTGTGACGCAGTTGGGTGCTTTCCTCAATGTGTGTCCTATCCACTTCCAGCGCTTCTTCCTGATTTCTTCCTCCACTGGGATCTGGTTTGTTCTCTCCCACAGTACGTTGTTGCTAATAGTGTCCGGCCAATGGATCTGAAGTATTTTGCGTAGACAACTGTTAATAAACACCTGTATCTACTAGATGATGGCTTTCGTAGTTCTCCAGGTTTCCGCCCCATACAGTAGAACTGTCTTGAACTCCGCCTGGAGTCCCTCCGGAAGCTACTGCCGGTCTCAAGCCCGGATAAAGGAAGAGGGTTGGGCATGGGGTTAGCGACCCCATCCCGTAGAAAACTAACTCGCTAAAAAAACGATTTTCATCAAGATTAACTATTATTATGATTTCTTTAGACTGGGAGTTGATCATTTACGGTTGTATTGCCAAGTGTTTGAATGCAGTGTTCGAGTTCAGCCCACTAGAAGAGTACTAGTTTAGTTAAGCCTTACGATAAACTTTGTTGATATTGAACATTAAATTTTCTAGATCTATAGCGAATTTATCAGGCATCAAGTGAAATTACTTGACTCGTTAGGTAAATATTGTATTTGAATATATTCATCCTCACGTTCAAATACTTTATTAATTTCTTCAACGTTTGGTTCACAGAAATGTCCAAAACACATTAGTCATGCCATTTTAACATTTCAGTGCTTAATAATTAATAAAAAATGATAAACATTTATGATACTAGATCTAAGTAAACGTCAGGTTATTAGTTGGTAGTTAAAATAACTGTGTGCATTCTATCAAGCATGATATAAAATGATAGTTGAGTCATTAACTTTTAACTGCAAGGTGCCTGATAACATGATAAAATGTTTTTTGAAAAAACTGGTTAGGCTTTTGTGAAAATAAAATCTTGAACTGTTATTATAATGAAACATCATATTGATATTATCAATGAATAAATGTTAGATCACGATTGAACACATGAGGGCAGTCGACGGCCATATCTTCCTAGTATGAGACTGCTCAGTAGTGAACAGCCACAATCCCATATGTCAGGCAGTTACTCACTGAAGATAATAGTGGACGGTCGCGTTTGAATTTAGATATTTACACCGTTGGATTCAGGTTCAGTGGTCTAAAGATTGGGTGTTTTCGAGCAGGACCAGGTCGCATACTGGGACGAAACGGCCGTCAAGTGCCTCCACGTTTTCAATGGTGTTCTAACATTGATCCATTCATTATATCAATCTAAACTCAACAATCTCCACAATCCATATACTGTTAAGTATCATGTATGTCTAACCACACAGCTGATTAAAAATCAAATGCTTTTTGAGCTGGATTTGTTCTTTAATTAAACGATCTTTAAATTACCCGACAAGCAATGAATTTTCGAATATCAAAATGAATATACTATACACTTCTTGAGACTTTTATATCAAATGGTATATTTTGCAAAGTGTATTAATTTCAGTATCTAATCACTGTATAAGCGTTCTCATACGATTTATTATTACTGTGAGTTCTTCTATTTAGGCAGTGTAAGTTACAAATGGATTCAACTTACTTTTGCTCGTAACCTAAAATTACTGTAAAATGTATTTTTATTTTAATATAAAGTAGATGTACATCTACAATTCTTTACTAATATTGTAGTGAACGGAACACGGGTGGAGACAATCAAATGTATTTAACACAAATTACAGGACTTGTTAATAAAATCTAACATTCATAAAGTAAATGCCTCATTAGCAAAATGTCCACTAATTGTCTCAGAATGACTCAGACTTCATTGTTCTGGCATTTTCATACGAATTGCATCCTGTCTTCATTCTTTACTGTTCGATCCTCTAGTCTCTCTGCTGCCAGACCTTCTGTTTACTACTAACATCATATACTACTTATGTCAACATAAGTAGTGCACACCGCAATATTTGTAGAACTTTCGCGGTCAATGGCATTTTTGTTATTAAACACGATGACATAATAAATAGTAGTCATGATCATTATTTTGTGATGTGTATATAAGTATATACTGACAGACGAGTTAATTCAAAATTTTAGTAAATTAATATAATACGATCGTTGAAATCATGAATTGATTGAAGCTAGACCACCGTGGAAAACCTGGAAGCGTTCGACGGCCGTATCGTCCTAGTATGAGACTCTTTCACAGTGCAAATCCACGATTCCTCCACGCGAGATTTGAACCTAGGACTTTCGGTTTTGCGCGTAAACGCCTAATCTTAAGACCACTGAAATCAGCATTCAACAGTTTTAATATCTAGCTTCAATCAAACCACAAAATTTAAATGATATTAAGTGATATGACAAAACAAAATATTTATTAAATCTTACCTCTAGTGTATGATCTTCAACTACAGAGCACATTTCATGAATAATTAGATGAATCATTTGAAATGTTGAAAGTTTTATCATCATTTTTCTAATTGCATTAACTATCATTTTACAAAAGGAACATTTTATTGTAGATTGATTATTTCTAAGGTGTATTAATGTATAATCTGTATTTGATATATTTTGTATAGTTTCTATTCTATATTGTTTATTTATTAACTATTATATAGAAGAATTAATGAATTAAAATTATTTACCTGAATACTATTTATTGTTGTATGGATTAAACCTAATAGAATCCAATTATATTAATAAAATAGAAAATTACTTGTAATTAATAGAATGATAATATATTTATTCATTTGTATTCATTCATTCATGATTCTAATTATAATCGTTTATGGTATCAAATAAATTAGAATAGTTTCAAAGTCCAATAAATAATTTTAATTGTTTGTTGAAAAGATAGATGATTACGTAATAATAAGTTACTTTTCCAGATGGACGATATAAAATATATTTCATTTTGAAGTGAACGTCAACTCTGGGATGCTGATGAGTTCTAATTATTTACTTACGCTTGTTACTCCTCGTGAATGAGCATTGACCGCTCACCAGTAATCTCCATCTAATCTCTATCATAGGCAATCCATTCCATTTTTTAATTCATCCTTTTCATATCTGATTCTATTTTCTGACGTAATGTGTTCTTTGGTCTTCCACTTTTCCGCTTCCCTTCAGGATTCCATGTTAGGGCTTGACTCGTGATATAGGTTGGTGATTTGCGTAATGTATGTCCCACCTATTTCTATCATCTTTTCCTAATTTTCTCTTCAGATGGAAGCTGGTTTGTTCTCTTCCACAGAAAGCTGTTGCTGATGACATCCGGTCAACGGTTGTTGAGTATCTTGCGTAGACAACTATTTATAAATACTTCAACCTTCTTGATGATGATTGTGGTGGTTCTCCACATTTCAGCTCCATACAGTAGAACTGTCTTGATGTTCATATTGAAGATTCTGACTTTGATATTGGTTGGTAGACAGTTGTTCTGGGTTTAATATGCTCATCAATTGTAGAAATACGGCCGTTGCTTTCACAGTCCTCGCCTTTACGTCCGCGTCCGATCCTCCATATTCACCAATCATGCTGTCCAGGCACGTGGAAGAGTACACCTCTTCCAAAGATTCTCAATCAAGTGTAATTGGGTCGGTATTCTCTGTGTTGTATTTGATGATCTTGATTATTTCTTTGTGTATGTTGAGGCTTACTGATGTGGAGGCTTCTGCTTCACTAGTTGTCTTCATGTGGATTTGTTCGTGTGTATGGGATAGAAGGACCAGGTTATTTGAGAAGTCCAAATCTTCTGATTCATTTCAAGCTGTCCATTGTATTCCATGTTTCCCCTCAGATGTGGAGATCTTCATAATGCAGTCGACCAGCAGAAGAAAGAAGAAGAAGAGGAAGGGAGAGAGTAGGCGGAATTTTCTGACTCCGTTTCTTACTTGGAATGCATCTGTCAACTGTCCTCCATGCACGACTTTGCACTGTAGTCGATTGATTGATTGACGAGTCTTAAATAGTACAAAACGCACATCCTAGATTCCACTGCTAATCACCATTTAACTTTGCTTATCATGTTTGTAAATTAAGTTAATATCAAGACAATTGGCACAGGATGTACATATGCTAATAAGAGAGTGGTCAATTACGATCCTAAATAACAATGGGAAGATACATGCAAATAACATTAAATGAAATTAAAAGCGTAGTTTTAATAAGTTACGATTAACAGAATATTTAAATTAAATGAAAGCATTCAGATTCTAATTCTACAGCAGAGATTTGTAAATATGTATCACTTACTTCTGAATCAGTAAACGGTAATTCTCATTAAGAAGCCGTCATAATAAAATCAATGAAATTGATGTTAATTTATTTCGAAGCATCAGTCATATCGATTTATTCAAAAATTTCCCTTCACCACTTTTTATAGTTTCAAGGCTACAGTTTGTATATTCGGTGATTTTCTATTCTTAATAATTATTTTCTAGTTTAAATTCATTTTGTTTTGTTTGTTTGAATCTTGCCATTCGTCTTTAGGACTGTATCCTGTTCATCCTGGGGGCCAGTAATGTAATCCTCAAGCTAGTTAAAAGGATAACGTGATTGGGTTTGAAGCGAACGGTACTGGGTTCGTGTCTCAGAATGAACATCAACTTTGAGATGCAGGTACGTCTGGCTGACGAGTTCAAAATAGGACGAAACACACGTCCTGGATTACACTGCTAGTCACCATTCATCTTTGCTCATAATGTTTTCTAGATTGATTTAAATCTTTGTATTAATAATTATACACAAATTATTATTATTAGTGGCTTTACTCAATATTTTATTCTTAGTACAATATAGAATAATCATCACAAAGTATTTCAACAAGTTTCTTTTTCTTGTGTTTTGATCAATCTTTAAGATAAATATTGAGTGGTTGCCAGTTAGATGTTAGCAATTCGGGAATCGAAATCTGAAGAATGTTTATTCTTTCCAATGGATATTGCCAGCAATCGCAATGTCTCTGATCGTGCTCTTTCCCAACTTGTACAGTGAAAGGCCATGAACTTTTCGCAAACGCACCTGAATAGGTTATGCTAATAATGATGTGTTAAAACAAACAAGAAAACAGATAGCTTGTTGCAATATTCAGAATGCAGGAACTGGTAGCCCCGATATTCGAGCAGGCTGCCTTAAAGTCTTTCAAAATAGTCTTTTGTTAGGTTGAATGGTAAATACATTATTAAACTTCAATGTTGAATTGATTTATTATTGGTACTGGCTTTATGCATCGAATGTGTTAATTGATCATAATATAATACGGATGATAATAATAATCAGCTATCATATCAGGCAAATTTACTGTATTTGAAGCTTTTATTAATATTTCATGTCTATAGTCTTTAGAAGAAAATGAATACAGCTTACATATGTATTCCGTTACTAAAAATGTATTCTAGGGGTATGAGTAATTCATTTGTAACTTTTCATATCGTAACACTTGTTGATATTAGTTAGAAATTAATATGTGATGAAAATTAAATCAAGATTGCAGATACAACTTGATAGGGAACCTTTGGCAGCAAAAAACCTAGTTTCAGGCCATCATACCAATTTCTTTCTATAGAGGAATACCATAATATTTTATGTATAATTGACAAACAGTAAGAATAGTACATTCATTGTAAAAAAAACTCTGAAGAGTGTATTGTTCAGTAAAATTCCAACTTGCATAATACAAATAGGGATTTAGTGATGAGTTTGGAATTCTAACTTTCATTTTACCTCTCAGTCCTTCCTTCAACTGATTGGATAATGTTTAACTTTATTCAGTGTTTCTATTATGAACTCTGCGAATGTATTTTAATGTGATGATAAATTCTATGGAAAGGTTTAGGTTTATGCTTATATTCTTCGATTTATAGTCAACTTATGTCAAACATTAAGAGAGTTTAGACTTCCTTAACGTGAGTAAACAATGTTTTTATGAGTAACTTGGTTATATTTATCGAGAATCACTTTTTTTCAGATTAGAAAGTGGAACCATATTTAATAATAAAGTCAGATGTGAGCACAAAATCTTAACATCAATAAATTGTCTGCTCAAAATGTCTTATTTAAATTTCTTTAAGTTGCTGATTTGATTTGTGAAAATCATCTAATATATTGAAACTAAATTAGAACACTTCATTGAAGTGTATTACTTGTATGAAACACATGAAAAATATTGTTATTGAGATATAAATCTGAATTAAGAAATCTCTACTAAAGGCAAACCAGTTTTCGAAAAATGTCTGTCGACACAACTTTATGTGATAATAGTGATACAAATAAAAAGGATGCAATATCATATTGATGAAGCTATAATAATAATAATGAGATAAAGCTTCAAAATAACTTTAAACATTTTGTGTGTTGTTCGAGTCCCAGAGTGAACATCAACTTTGTGATGCAGGTACATCCATTGACGAGTCCCAAATAGGACGAAACGCGCGTCCTGGATTCCACTGCTAGTCACTATCCATCTTTGCTTATATAGAAAATTATTATGCGAATATTTTACCATTTGACAGAAATGTAAAAAATGTCTTACATGAATGAGGAGGTTCATGTAGCTTATCTATGGAAACAATTCCATGAGAAATATCTATTCAGTGAAAGTTAGTATGAGCCTAATGTTGCACTTTGATCTATGACAAGCTTCTAAGTAAAACACCTAGATTCTGATAAATATGTGAGATATGAAAGATAGCCACTCAATATCGTGGATTGAGTGAGGTTACAAATTAACATCGCTGAATGTCGGTTCAGTTGTCTAGATTTTAGGCTGTCGTGCGCTATTCGGGAGCTTTCAGATTTTCAATAGTGGTCTAACGTTCACTGGTTCATGGTCTCAACAAATATATTAGTTTTGTTGCATTCATTTTTATGCATGTTGTTACAAATACAACTATGTACCGATTCTATAAGCTAATTTGACTTCTATTTAGCCTGTATATGGAATATATCTGCAAAATATTTCGTATGACGAGTACCATATTCATGTCTTATAATTTCATTCAGACAGTCACTTTGTGTTTACATACATAATTTATTAAGCATATAACAAATTAAAGTAAGGCGGTCTAATATTTTTCAAAGCTTATATACTTGGTAGGCGAAAGCAAATGGACAACATTCATAGCATATTGTTTAAGGGAAATGCATTGAAATTTGATAATACTACATGAATATATCATTAGGAATGAATTAGGGTTGATTTTGCGTTTGAAATAATGTTACATGAATTCTATCGGATTCGAATTTGAACATAATATCATATACTAGACATATAATATTACATATTACATAATCAATTATCACATTCTTGATAATTTTGTAGCTTTGGACAGTGAATGTTGGTATGAAGAAATGCAAAAATGTCATTCGGTTTTTCCTCAGTTACACAAATCTAAGGTTGTAGTGATAAAACTATATATTTATTCTATTAAACCTTCAAGTTCATCATTATAGTTAAAGTAAGTGAGGATCTTTGAAAAAAGTCTTTATTTAGAATCATTCTGCATAATACTACTACTATTACTACCAGTACAACAACAACTACTACTACTGCTACTGCTACTAATACTACTACTGAGTTTTTTACTCCCAATGGAGCATAGGCCGCAGACAAGCATTCTTTAACCTATTCTTTCCTGGGCTTTCCTATCCAGTTCTATCCAATTTTTGTTCATTCTCCTCATGTCTGTCTACATTTCTCGGCGTAATGTGTTCTTCGCTCTTCCTCCCCTCCTTTGGCCTTGACAATTCCAAGTGAGGGTATGCCTTGCAACACAGTTGGATGCTTTCCTTAATGTGCATCCGATCTACTTCCAGCGCTTCTTTCTGATTTCGTTCTCCACTGAGATCTGGTTTGTTCTCTCTCATAGTAGGTTGTTGCTGATAGTATCTGGTCAACGGATCCGAAGTATTTTGCGTAGACAACTGTTATTAATCACTTTTATCTTCTGGATGATGGCCTTCATAGTTCTCCGAGTTTCTTCCTCATACAGTAGAACTGTTTTGACATTCATGTTGAAAATTTCGACTTTGGTATTGATTGACAGTTGTTCTTCAAGTGTAGATATGCTGCTCCGCTCCTTCACATCTACATCAGATCCCTCGTGTCCATCAATGATACTACCTAGCTATGTAAATATTTTTACATCGTCCAAAGCTTCTCCATCAACTGTGATTCGATTGGTTCATTCTATGTTTTATCGGAGAATCTTGCTTCTCCCTTTGCATAACATAATATCAAATGGAATGAAGATAGATTTAACAAAATAAATTATAGTACACACTGTATTTAGTAAAGTACAAAGTATAAATAAAATAATAATGGAAATTCTTATGTTATGTTTTTTGTTTTCATATGCCTCATATGCTATGTGTTAGATAAAGAACAAAGTTCTAGTTTCTAATAGAGGTTTTTTCTTGGAATAAACAATTATGTGTCGGATAACACTTATTATAAACATTAAAAACAATAATGGTTAACGCTAAACTTAGTAAGTTATCAACAAAACACTTGAAATATTAAATAATAAAAAAGATCAACCATAGATAAGACGCCTACATATATGAATTATTTTAATCATAACACGTGGAATCTTGATTATGTTCCATATTAATTGTGTCGTTTTAACCTTATTAACAGGTTATATTATTTATAATACTTAACTTATCACCATTGTTTGTAGTGTTTTTATGGCAAAGTAATGGGATAAATGTAAGTATAAACTTTGTAAGGTATTATAATCAATTATTTCCTATGTATTTAATTGAGTGTTCAGATTTGACCGTTTAAAAAGATTATAGAATTGATTGATCTGTATCGTATATTATGAGTAAATCTTTGTTATCTCAGAAAAAAACCTTTTTTAATTTTCCATTTAGATGATGACTGGGTTTTTAGAAATGAAAGATAGTTCTATTACTTAAATAACATGATAAAATTATCTAATCTATAATATGTGTAACTTGAGTTAGGTCGTAGAAGGTCCAAATAAAACTTTCGGAGAGATTATGCATGCACACAAACATATATATGTAATAGCTTAAAAAAGCATTGTTTACAAAGTAATGAATAATGTAAGCATATAGAGATAGTGACTGGCAGCAGAATACATGACGAGCGTTTCGTTATATTGGGGACTCGTCAGTCGGATATAACTGTATCCAAGAGTTGATGTTCACTGTGGGACTCGAACTCAGTATCATTCGCTTCAAATACCATTGCATTATTCACTTAGCTGCTGAATCCTGATAGCCATTTCATTGTGCAATGGAGTGAAGTTTAAAATCATTTGGTATTGTTTACTTGAATATTGACTATTGAGAGAGAAAGTTTTATTTTGAACGAAATCATTTACATTTGTATCTATTGTTGTATGGTAAATGTATCTATAGAAGGATAGAAGATATTAGATCATGAAGTGATTCTAAACTCTAATTATCAAATGAGGTTGCTTAATAATCAGAGGCTTAAATAAGCTTAAAAGGATGAAAATGATGTAAGGGTCAGAATTATGAAATATGATTGTCCTCTTGACAAATATGAAGAAAAATAAAGAAAAATCTACACGATCAAAAGAAGTGGATTGAGGGGAGGATAGGTCAAAAATTTATGCACTGACAATTTATGACTGAACTCTGATTGTAAATACTATATACACGACCTCTCATCTATGGCCCTAATTCCCTTCTGTAGTATTTTTTGTTGTTATTATTATTTTATAATTTTAATCCCTTATCATTTATCATCATCCTTTGACAATTTTTCATGATTGTTATTATTACGTAGTTTCCTTTTTGCTTTTCTTCATATCTGAACGGGGATTTATGGAGATTGCAGATGAATTCATGAGTCCAGCCTTTCAATGGTGGTCTAGCTTAGATCAACTCATGAATTTAACTACTAAAATTTTTTCGTATTTTTTAAGCGAACAATCATCTTTCATAATTTTCACCCATACATCATTTTAATCCTTCTATTCTTATCTAACCCCCTAATTATTACAAAAACTCATTTGATAATTGGAGTCTCAAATCACTGCATGATAGGAAGCTTATATATATATGTGGAATTAAGTGGGATTTTTTGCATAAATGACTTCAAATATCATAAAATCACGATCTATTAGAAACTATGCCATGCCGTTTATTAAAATCTTTTGAATTATTTATACAACATTCAATGATGTTTAAAATTCCTGTTATGTATTTCTTGTTTAGGCCAAATCATCTTTGAATATAGATGCTAACGAAATAGGTAAGTTATGAAATTTTTCTATTTGTAACTAAACAATATGTTTATCGTTAGATTGTGATATATGTATGGGAGTAGTATCTCTTGGAAAATTGTTTCTTGTGTCACCAATCATGGATAGTATAAAGAAAATGCTTATAGAAAAACTATGTTCATTACCCGGGATTATGACAAGAAGAGTAAGTTCAAGTTAGTTTAATTCTAAACATGACTAGTCATATATAATTACAAGTGAATTAAAGAAGATGGTTTAAAGATATTTAACTTATTTATTAGTATGTCAGTAATTACTATAAGAGATTAAAGCGTAAAAATTTGATAATTCTAATCTTACAGAACCAGATGTTGTGTTGCACATGTTTTCGAAACATCAGTAAAACTTCATAATTTAACTACTTAGAAATGATTAGTTGTTAGATGTTAACGTCTAACACAATTAGTTTGATACACATAGTTCCCTTTATTATTTTAAAGAGAGTAAGAACAAAGGTTGGTGCAGAATAATATGAATTCATTTTATTTCGTTAGGTTCTCATCAGCTGCTTACAACCTAAAATATTTGAAATTCAACGTTATTATAGATATTGACATACTTATACAACAGAGGGCGATGAAGGATGAATATATGTAACATAATGTGGTAAAGATTTCGTTAGAGTCAATGAGGTCATAAAATTTTTTGTTTCGAATATATAGAGTTTGGGAGGGAAGGTTCCAGAAAATTGAAATAGTGATTAGAAATCATGGAATTAAAACACATTAGGCGATTATGTAATGAAATAACTGAAAATAGTTTGGGATTATTTCATATTTCATCATTGATTAACTAGCTATCATAATAATAAATAGCCGTTAAATGCATTAAAACATGTCACTGAATTTACAATGGTTAAACATTAAAATACAGTATAATTTTGATGATTTCAATTTACTACCTAATAAGTCTTTTTTGTTTACATTAAATATCTGATATCGAAATTCAGTATCAAAGAAGTAGATACAAACCACTGTGTAAAAACTATTGACTTTTTAAAAATCTATTTACCAGAAAAGTGTATCTCATTTCTAATCATCCTTCTAGAGTTTTGTTTGGTAATGCCAATGTTATAACTTGTGACCTGTGTGCTCTGTTAATGTATACGTAATGATACCGCCAATTAGAGAGCAGTGAATTATCCATCGGACCAGGAACGCGTATAAACCGTACGAGCAGTCTAGAGTACTTATTGGTCCCGCTTCCTGTCTAGACCAGTCAGTTAAGTCCAGAACACCAATCTCAGACTCTGAGATATGAATCATTTATTTCAAACATACCGGGTTTATATACCAACCAAACAGACCACATGGTACCATGAAATAGGAAACAACATTTGTACAAGATTTAGCCAAATGTGGCTGTGAATGTGGGACGTAGTAATTGATAGACGGCATAACTCAAAAATGGTAAATCGTATAATAATAGTTCATAGGTCAAAATAAAGCTCATAATAAGAGGGACGTGACTATGAGTAGTTTAGTTACATAACAACTATACGATAAAAATATACGTTTAGTATTGGTCCATAAATGGATCCCAAAAGCTACCATTCATTATACATACCGGGACATAACAGCCAATAAATATAAAGCCTCGTTTGGACGAGGAAATCTGCATAAAGATTAAGAATCCATTAAATAAACTGCCTAATAACATGGAGTTGAAAACGAATATATTCAAAGGTTGAAAAACATAAGAAACTAACATTTTTCATGCTTGGTTTAATTGTATCATAAAAAAAGGGGAAATCCTTGGTATCTTGGTATATTTTATGAAATATACCTGTTTTTATAAGCAAACAGTAATAAGACAAAATATTAGCTTGATCCCTTTCTAAAATAATGACTTTTCAGACAACTAATTGTATTAGAAAAAAATATAATATTGGGAGAAAATGCCAACTGTTTTCATAATATTTACTAGCTCATATTCATTTTTTGTAAACATATTTAATAATTTCTTTTGTATTCTGATATTTCTAGTGTATTCATTGGGGATATCATCAAGCAGACGAAATAGTCTTTCATTTCATAAAACAAAGTTCATCAAAACCATGCAAGGTAAGTTCTATTTATTGATGATGAAATTAATCTCCTTCATAATTCTATAGAAAAGTATGAATAATCCATAAAACCAGATCATAAATTTGTACAGAATAATTTAGATATATCAGTTAAAGAACCACCGAAAGCCACTAAGCTTTATCAGATTCTTCGGTCCTCGTACATTATTTGAACGTATATTTCTTAACCCTTTAGAATAATTTTCCTTTAATAGAGTATTTGCATATAAATAGAACTTATTTTCGTTTTACCAGTGTTGTCAACTGAATATATTCACAGAATACAGAATACATAACTTTCTTTACTGAACTAAATTTTATGGAATCATTTAATTGATATCAAAAACTGTAAAATCATAAACTGAAGCTTGTGGGTACTTAAACTAATTATACTTAATGTTCACAAATCCAAATGAATATGCCTCTTTCAATGAAATCAAAAACGCTATATGATAAAATCATGTAACTATTTCTTAGGAAGCTTAGAAATGACAAGTAAACAATGAATTCGTACAAGTCAAGATCAGTTTTGTTAAAATTATGATGATAATCTTTCTCCTAATAATTTTATAAATATCACATCTTACTGTACCTAATACAAAGACTATTATCTGTTCCTGTTTATTTTTCTCCGAATAAAATTAATTTGAAAAATTTTAATTTCAACAATCAGTATAGGATTGTGGAAATTGTTGAATTTAGATCGATATCGTGAATGAATCAATGTTAGACTACCACTAGAAATTTAGATGAACTGTACGGTCATTTCATCCTATTTGGTTAAGCATTCACACGCGAGACCGCAAGTCTTATGTTCGAATCTTGAGTGCAGGATTGAGGATGCGCACTGTCCTATACTAGGACGAGAAGATCGTCCAGTGCTTCCAAGTTTTCAGTGGTGTTTTAACACTGATCCATTCATGATGTCAATATAATTTCAAGTTATGTGGATTTTCATGTTTCTTTTATTTCCAACTACAGTATCTTTCACTGTGTCCAAGGAATATTTCTCAAAGGTTAACGGGTTGAGTACAAGTAAGTGGATAGTTACTATTATTTTTTAGTGTAAAAGAATTACAAAATCATTTATACAAATTTATTTCCAAAAGACTTACCTTTTTTACACGTCAAGTCGATACATCTCGTTAGACGATTGTTGGAATTAATACTCGTTACTTTCTTAATGTTATATTTTGGTAAATTAATGTTTTCTTGATGTATATGTATTTTAGCTATCAAAAGTGTCAAAATTAAGACATTAATATTTCCAATTAAATACTGTTAAAAAGAAATCATTCAGAGTTAGTTACTTAAAAAGTATAATTTCGGTGTGTACTACTGATGTCGACAGATATAAGTAGTATGTATCATCAACCGAAAGTGAAATGCTTAACTGCAGAAGGTTAAGAGGATCAAAGAAAATAGAACGAGAACAGGGAATGATTGGTGTAGAAACGAAGGGATAGTTAAGTCTGTGGTAATTAATGGATAATTTGCAGATTAAGTATTTATTGTATGGTTCTCAGATTTGACTAATTTGTGTTCAAATATATTTGGTTGCCCCCACCTATGTTCTCGTTCACTACATAATCAACATACAATCGTATAATTCACGAAAGAAATTAATATGATGAGTACATTTAATAAACTTAATTATACATATTAGAAATGTAGACTAGCTTACAATTTAATAGAGACAACTATTTTTACTAATAAATATATTTTTGTTATATCTCAATCAGTAGAAAAATTATATTTCTGACGTTTCGTGTGTCACTTCTTCAGAGCAAATATTTTTTATTTATTCTGAAGAAGTTGCTTACATTAAGTTACGAAACGTCAGAACTACAATTTTCCTACTCGTTAAGATATAACAAAAATATATTTATTAGTTATTAACTCTCTATCCAATGTCCAATTTATTTGAAACTGTCAAGCCCAACCTTATTATTGATACTTATAAACTATTTTTACAAAAAACGTTGTTTACGTTACCTGTTTGTAATAAAATTAGAAGTGGGGAAATTTCACAATGATTTCACCTTCTTAGTCATTTCTAAATGTATACCAGCTTAGGTAAAATAGCTAATGTTTCTCATTTTATAGCGAAAACTTACTGGCTTAAATAAACAAATATACATTATATGTACAACTTGGTTAATTTGAAAAAACATTATTAGAGAATGGAAAGAAATGATCTCTCAGCAAAAGTAAGGTCTCCCACATTGATCTGGTTGTCAGAAGGGGTATCAGCCTTGTGACTTCTGAAGTAACTCGGCTTTCATCACAAGACGTCATAACTCTTCTAAAGGAAGACTTTATAACTCTCAGGGCAGAGTTTAAATGCTTTAAATAATATTTTTTTGCCAGCTTTCTTTTGAACGAGCTAGTTTTCTACGGGTAGGGGTTGCTAACTTCAAGCCAACGCTCCTGCTTTATCCCGGCTTGGGACCGGCAGTAGCTCCGAAAGGGCTTCAAGCGGAGTTACTAAACTTAGGAATTGTTTTTAAATTACAACTATGCTAACATCCCTGAATCTGGCTTGCCAAAACACTGCGATTGTTCACTTCTTGGTTCTGAAATGTAACTAATTTTAAGTTTTATGGAAATATACCTATTTAATTTTTGTATTTATTTATTTTGTTTAAATAGATCATTCAATCACTATCAAACAATCTCACTGACTTTTTTTATAAACTTTATAAAATTAATCATTTAAAATGTGTTTGACATTCTCCTGTAAAAATAGAAGTCATGACCATTGAAGTTCAACCGGGTCTGTTGTGAGATAGTAACTCACTGATGACAATGGTTGATGTGTCGCTCAATTTTGTGGATTAGGTGAAGTTAGACATTAACACCGTTGGATGACAGCCGGCTCAATGGTCTAATGACTAAGCGTTCGTGTGCGAGACTGATAGGTCCTGAGTTCAAATCTTGCGAGGCGTGATCGTGGATACACACTGCTGTGAAGTCCCATACTGGGACGAAACGGCCGTCCAGTGCTTCCAGGATTTCCATGGTGGTCTCAAGAAGTCAACTATTAAATTACTAATAATATCCACAAAACTCCACTCTGATTAAAAATACAATCATTAAACTAATCTACATTCAACAATCTAATACATTCATTGATTGAACTTCAACAGAATGAATTTAGCTGTTCATTTTCATGATCAGTCTTGAGTGCTGTTAGAGGTATGAGGGTGGTTATCACTTCCTGGTTGCACACACCGTCGAAGGGTTCTTCTGGAGGTGCCTGAAAAGAAAATTGGATTAGATGTTGTCTTGGTAACCTGAGAGCGTGACCGCAATGCCCAAGGGACAACTGCTTCAGGTCGGTCACACACGATCTTTTATGAGTAATTTCCGTCTTAGCTCCGTACTTGCTGAGACCTTACCGTTGGAGATGAATATCCGTGGGATAAGGCGAGGTGTGCATTTCTAGGGTCGACCTTTTCTAACCCCATCTCTCCTTGTGGGAAGGCAGCATCGCTTTCATGCTAGTCGTCTGAGTGAAACACCTTACTGTTGTCACACCTCTGTACGGTCAGCAGTACGACTTCGCCTTCGGACCTTGTGTTTAATACTTTTAGTCTTACTGCTCTTCAACCGACTTGTCTAACATGGTAGGACCTTGAGGAACGGTTGTCCCGGCGAGTATAGCTCGGTTGCTTCATCACGATAGGCAAGCCTGACCACCACGTCAAGGTAGCAACAACGGTCGGGATAAGTCCTTGTAATTAATATTTTATACAATAGAGACCTAAGACAACAATAATAACATTATACGTTAACATTGTTCACTAATATAAAAATACTTTAAAAATACAGTCTATTAGGGGCAGGAATTGATTAGTTTTATGGAGAAAAAAAGAACACTTAGATAACTATGTTTTATCGAGTGTGCTCAGAGTGAGCTAAGTGAAAGTAAAATTCCTAATAGAATTATTTTTTTCGATTTCATATGACTTTTTTTCTTTGCCACTTTTCTTTATTTTAAATATTCTTTTTCAGAAGGATGAATTTCAGTTCAATTTCTTTTCATTAAATAATTTGATATTAAGAAAATGGGAATTCTTGTCACAAAAATATTTTTTAACTGAGATGTTAATATTACTATAGATGATTACATGTCCACATAGCACTATAATAAGCTTATTTACTTGTCATTATGGGAATTAGTGGAAACTGTAGTATTTTTACAGTTGAATTAACGAGTTCAAGTGAGAAGCCGTGATTACTGGAGTCTAGTTCGTGTCCGGTGTGAAATAGTTATCTACTTCAGACAATGGATGAAGGGCTGCGTGAGATCGTGGATCGATTGGAGTTAAACATTAATACCGCAGGAGTCTAGAAGTTAAGTGTTTGCGTATGACATCGAAGGCTTTAGGTTTGAGTCCTGTGTGTGGGGTCATGGATCTACATTGCTGAGGAGTCTCACGATGGGACGAAATGGTCGTTCAGTGCTTCCAGGTTTTTAATGGTCGTCTAACTTAGAACTATTTATTTGTATTTATTTATGTTTGAATGCTTGAAATGAGGCAAGTAGATGTAATAACAAGTTATAGTCTGCCAAATGGTCAGTATGTTGTGAGCAGCAATTACAACAGTACATTTGTTGACAGTTAATAATCATGAAAAATGGGATTTCTTCACTGTTGATTTTGTTGTTACGTTAAGCTAATTAAGACTATCTCACTACCACATTTTCTAAACACTGAGTAATGATCAACGTCTCGTGTGTCAGGTTCTTTAATACGTTTCAGTTTGAGGTTGTGAAGGTCGCCGAATTTCATTGAACTTATGAACCGACTTATGTTAGACCACTGTTAAAAACCTGAAAGCACTAGAGGTTGAATTATGAGCAACATTATACGTCATTCAACCTCGCGTACACTACAGTTTAATGTTCAGTGGTTGGAATTTGTCGATAAGATACATTTCAGTGGTTGGCTGATTGATCAGAAACTTAGACCCATGGTTATACACTTATCTTCAATCACAATGCACATATCACTAGCTATCACATTATCAATATCGGTTATATGAAACTAAGTTAGTTCAATGTTGAGCAAGGAGGAAAACGTTTACATCAACTGAAAGGAGAGTTTAAATTTTTTTGTACAGAGACTCCTAGTGAACGAATACTACTTAAAATATCCAACACTAACAAGTAAAACTTTTTCTGTTTATACAGTGTAGTTACGGAAATGAAAATAAACACTGAGAGAGAAAAATTCCAAATCAATTACTCTATCAAAGTTGTGATTAAATAGAAAACGCTCCTTTCAAATGAGAATATAGAACTCATTGAATAATATACAATCAGAGGTTCAAACAGTAAAGTACGCGTGAAAGTTAAGCAATAAGAACAAGAAAATAAACTAGATAACCGACTCGCTACATTAAAGAAGGGTGACTACGCATTGGAATACACCAACCGTAAAGTGGTCGAATGTAGCCCTCAGCGGTGATTATCGTAAAGTTTCAAATTACAACACAAAAATCCCCAAGCAATGTAAGGAACTAAGCAGATTCAATAGAGATAAATATCATACTCTGTTGCTAACCAGCTCAATCATAATAAGAAACCGAATGATAAGTAAGATAAAACAAGGCAAAATCTCCTGATTTTTCTTTTCAATTCGTGACAACAATAGCCTGAGGTCATGGAATAATGTAACGCTTTTATTTATAGATGACACTGTGTGCATGGGGCGAATTTCAGTGGATATATTAAAAAAACAATGTAAATCCATAGTTTGTGTAACGGGTTTGCTAATATATTTATTCTCATTATTATAAAATGTCATACATATAAATCAAGAAGAACCAAATTCAAAGGATAAAATAAACCCATCCTACTTCAAGGCTTCTCTCAGCTGCAAACAATCATTAGTTAAAGAGTAATGTGATTGGAAATGTTGGTTTCAAAAACTTTACTTAGTTAGATCATGTTAGAAGCTAAAATAATGATATCAGGCAAAAATTTTGTTGCTCTGTGATCTGATTCTAGATCAGAAGGTTGCCTG